CCGAGATGGGATAAGGATAGGAGGATGACAATGATGATGATCCGACATTCTTCTGTATGTTTTGCGATATAATGATGAATATGACCAAACAATATAAAACTTAACTGTAAACCTAACCTGTTCAAAATATCTAACGTTCGACAGATATTTTGAACAGGTGGACGATGATCTATGTTCATAGCGCAGACCATTACGACCATAATCTTTACATAGTATAAAACAAAGTCGCTCCCGATGTTTACATCTTTTAAAGTACCTACGCAACGGATTTTGATGCGGTTTTCAGTAATAGATAGAGTGATTCAAGCAGAAGCTTTATATGTAGTACCTATATACATGGATATTATAGTCGAGAAAAGCCGAGAAATTCAATATTTACATTGCACCCGCACCCGTTCGACGCCGGGCCGGTTTGCTAGTATTTTATATAGTGATGTCGAGTCATAAACTTTATTACTTTTGAACTAATTAGAAAATTGTTTGTCGTCGTCAACCCAGAGTTTTCTCTGCGTCCGCCTGCAAAGAGTAATTTTTGACGTTATTAATAAAATGACAATCGCTGAATCGCTTCCTGAAGAAATAGCGTTTCGCGCCTATAAGTACCACCAAGTTCTAAACGGGGTATTACCCAGTGTTTTTTTTGTTAGGTGGAAATGGGTGGGTAATTAAGATAATCGAAGGAGGACAGGGTTGTTGACTTCGTAGCGGCGTTCAGGTCGCCGTCGGGGGAAATGAGGCAGTTTAATCGGGCTCAAGGCCCCTTTGGCACGAGGACGGCGGCACGCAATTGGCGACAGAATTCGACACTCGCCGTTTCAGCATAATTAAGGCAGAATTAAGTTTGCCATAGCACGTTCGACGAATCGGTAAATGTTCGTTGTTTAACCGATGAACAATTCTGTAAATTTAACGTCACGAAAGGAATACTATCGCCTACCTGAGTTAATGGATATGCGTCGAGAACTGCTCGCGTGTACCTTTCGATTCATTGTTGAATACATGTTTAACGTCCAGGTAGTACGCCGTTCGTTCAATTCAATGCACAGTACAAACGAATCCGATATAGGAAGATTATCGCGGATTAACATTCCGGTCCTACATAATGCGGGTTCCAGTGTGTTGAGGGTGAAACGGAACTTTTTTCTTCACCAATTACACTGTGGCGTACGCCCGCGTCTTATTTATCCAATGAATTTATGCGGGTGCGGCTGCTTATGGCAACACTGCGTACTTCGATTCTTTTCTATCGCACACATACGTAGTTATGACGGGGCTTGGAGCACGAATATCGACGTAGATCTCCGTCGACGCAAGGGGTCCCGATACCGCCGTTCACTTCCCCTCGCGATGAATCAAACGAATGACAAATTTAACGTGCGTAAACAATAAAATGAACGAATGATTCATCCACTGTTCAAATTCCATTTGTTTTAGAACAAACGTTATCTTCAGCTTATAAATCAACCGTGAAACATTCCTCTTGTATCTATTTACGTGCGGAATTTGAATTCTTTAAGAATTTGAATATTGGCTTTGACCTTTATAATGTAGTTAGATATAATGAGGACAATAAATAGCATAAATAAAAAAATATTAAAGAAATACAGAGAAAAATTTAAAAGAATCATTCATTGGTTAGTTATGATTAGTCTTTTATAACATTAGAGTTGGTAAAATCTGAAAAGGGTGCTATTGGAAAATACTTGCAATCAGAGGCGCTTACAAACTTACTTACAAAGAAATTTTTGATTCCATTATTTGTTTCGATTTTTTTTTCATGTCTTGAAAAAAGAATTTATACATGAAACTTGATGTTCAAACCGAATCTGACTCGTTTTTAGATTTGAATACAACTTCAAAATACATAAAACTTTTCTTACAAATATATTTGTTACTTATTCCATAGAAGTATGAAAATTTTTAGTTACATTCTTTATTTTGTCCAAAAATGACCCTCGAGCACGCTTTTGACCTACTTATGATACACATTTTCAAGACATATTTTTACACAATCTAGTCCCAAACTAAGCAAAGCTTGTACTATGTGCACTTACTAGGTTACTGATAAACATAGAACATGTATAACATAACGACTAGATATTAGGTTCTATGTTCATCACACAATATTTTTCCAGTATTGGCGATCGAACCCTGGCCCTCTGGCGCAAATTACAGGTTAATTAACTATCCAATACACCAATCGGTTCGCCCCCGCAGCAGCCTGCCAATTCACGCTTGCTGCGTAAAGGAAAGGTGCATAAAGGTTGCTGCGTTCTTCTTTCAATCGTCGAATAAAATAACTATTCATTAATTAAGGAACTTCCATATACCCGTGTCCATTATGGATGAACAAAGCACGCGTTACCACTGACAACAACCATCGGACAATATTAACGAGAATATCGTAAACAATGTAAACCGAGGTACGATCGGCTACCCGGCGGCCATTGTGTCGTTTTGGCTGCCTGCTATGTATCCATATATAGTTATGTCTATGTCGATAAACGACCCGATCGCGATGCAATCACCACACCGTCGATATCGATTACTTAGTGCGACGTGCATAGTGGCTACGTCAAGGGGGTATACAAGTTTGGATTACGAAGTACCGTGTAGAAAATGTTTACCGAAAAATGTATTATTTTAATGATAGAATAGCATAATAGATTCAATGGAACATTTAATTTTTTTCGCTTTCAGTTAAAAGTACTAAATTTTAGTGAGTATGTCAAAAATGATGCTAAACAAATTTTATTCGGAATGTGGTAGTTCCGTCATCAAAATTATTAAAAACTTATAATAATCCAAGATATTTTATTCCCTATAATTATGCTTTTATAGAACTTGTATGACGTAGGATATTATATTTTAATTTACTCAAATTATGTATTTAAATAACTTTGTTACCATTTATCACTGCTAAATAACAAACCCCAAATTATAGTTTTTTGTAATACCGGACACAGTTTACGATGTTTTGTGTAAACGTGTTATGCAATATTATCAAAACCAAGCAAACAACACACGCTTTCCGACAATATGTTTGCTTACATTTAAACCTTCGACAATCGTTTTCCGGTAAGTAAGGTAGGTAACGGAAATGAGTTTAATTTGAGATTGTATCATTTTAATAACGAAGAGGCGATTATTATGAAACTACTGAAAAATAATGGAAAATATTGTTGCTCGTTGATAAATAATTTTTGGCTATACGCCATTTTTAATTTGATGCTTTAAATCATTTATTAACCGTGAATTAAAATTCGATATAGGCAGATATTGCTTGCTAATATGATCATTGAAATATTTGTCTTTTAGTCTATATATAGGTGAAATTGCAAAGTGTACAGTGTACACTACAGGCAGTGCACAGTTATTTTTAGATTTTTTACTCTTTAGTTTGGTCATTATTTACTTATCAATAAAAAAATATTTTATTAACAATACGTTGATTATCATTTTTATCGTTGCATTAAGTTAATAGCAAGGTATTTGATATGATGAATGATGTTGATATGAACGAGAGTTTATATTCTAAAAGTAAACATAAAAGACATTTTCTTACTTATATTATCTCCTGCGATAGAAAACAAACTCCACGGACTCTTTTGGTCATATAATGTTCAAATCACGTCAGGACGGTAAACATTTCGAAGTTGATTAAAACATCTGCGCGTTTTAATATTTAAATATTGGTCTCTTTATTCCGAACGCGCCTGTATTCTGGCACATTATAACAAGTGGCTGCCGCATTCCAGCCTTGCCTCGCGCCATTAATTAGGCGATGTGTTGCTTTATTGAATGCTGCACAGATCCATAACAAAACTTGAAGGGCTGCGTTGAATAATAAGTGAATGATTCGATTGAGCCATGTCTGTGTTTTCGTGTTCTTATTTTGACACATGTCTGACGTGTATTTGTCTTAATGTTCTCAGATCGATGTAAACAAATCTGTATGATGATTATTTTTACGGAGAAGTGTGGGACTGCTATTAATTAGAATTAAGTTGTAAGGAGGAGTGTAGAAAGCTAAAATTTTTTATATTTATATTATAACAATCAATGTTTCAAATATATTTAATGACATAAAACATTCAATGTTTGTATCGAAACTACCAATGTCGAATACATAATATGGAAAATGAGTTAGGATTGTCGCGAAACAATTGCCTAATTGACGGAATTAGTTTCAAAACATTAAAAATTTAGAGTCGAATTTCATTATTAATAGAAATTAACTACAATTTTCTTACTCGTTATCAAATCGGATATTGGGAAATTGTAATTGAAACAATTATAGGATGATACGTCCTATTTTAACATATTCGCGATCACGGTGCCCTCTGCGCATGACTTCCGGTTGTTTTTTTCTGTCTAGCAACTTTTGCGCGGGGAACATAATGATGGTGTCTGGTGTCTGAACTGAAGTGGACGAGTAGTGAGTAGGTACACCACGATCGATGCAACGTAAAGTAAACAGTTTATCCGCTCCGTCGTCTGGTGTTCTTTAACTCTGCTGCTATAAATAGAAACAATGGATAGTCTCAATACATTTGTTTGTTATGAAATAGTTCACTCGCTGCGGAGAAAGTTAAAACCGCTAGCCGGCCTCTTTTAAGTTGCACATTGCATTGAAATACATTATACTATTAGGAAAACACTCGCAAACTATCAATTATTTTGCACCCAGCCGATTAATCCGTTAGTTATCAAAATATCCTATTTAAGGTACTCAATAAACAAAACATGTTGACGTTTCATGGAATACAAGTCACATTTTATTTAGACATTTTTTATTTTCATGCGAACACTACTAAGAACATTCATTAACAAAATAAATGGCCGAATACTGGATTCGAATCTTCGGAGAGCTATAAAACATAAATAAAATGCTATTAAATACGTTAGGAAGCTCTATCATAGTGATAGCATTTTTATATGAATTATATGAAAGCATTTACATTGTAACTGTGATTAGCAAAATTCTTTGTTTGTTACAGTGGCCTCAACTTCCAAGACTTGATTGTGCGTCAGGGTGCCATCGACTCACCGCCGAAGACTCCTTTCATCCTTGGATTTGAATGCGCTGGAGAGATTGAGCAAGTCGGCGAGGGAGTCACCAATTTTAAGGTCTGGTTCAAAATATGGTTTCTTATCACCCCCGGCTTTGAAAGAAACGAGTTCTTTTTCTGACTTTGAAACATCGGTTGTATAACATATAATATCCATTTTAATATATATAAAATAAACACAAAAAAAGGGCGTTCTTGCCCTGGAAATATGATAAACACTTGCGGTTTCAAACCTATTAACGACGCAACATACGAAATATAGTTTGATGCCAAAAAGTATGTGTACTAAATTTTTAAATACAACGTTATAATAATAAATAAGATTGGCAACAGGACTTTCTAATTAACAACTGGATATTACGATACGCTATGGAACGGTTAAATAATAATTTAAAACGCGTATGTAACAAAAATTTAAGAAAACATGAGAAATCGGTACTGCACTTATTATGTAGTAGTAGTATTAAGGAAGTAGTAAATAATAACACAATATTATGCTAATTTTTTTCTAAGAAGCCTGTTACATGAATTAACTGTTCATTCTTCCTTTATAAATTGGCCGCTCCAGGAGGTAAATTGTGCAAGAAACTAAATAACATATTAAATGGAGCTCTGTTTGAATTGTAACTTAATTTTTAATGACTACCATAAAAACACTCACTGTCAATGAATAGAAAAATAGCTTCTCAAATACTACTGTATATGAGAAACTACTTGTCGCTTTTTGAAGTAAATAAGTAACTGGTTTACAAACAAATGTTAAAATATAATATGATATTAAGATTTTGATAGCCATAATAGAATTGTTGTTTCGTCATCAGGTTGGCGATCAAGTTGTGGCCCTGCCGGAGTACAGGGCTTGGGCTGAGCTCGTCTCCGTCCCGGCCCAATATGTCTACGCTCTGCCCGAAGGAATGTCCGCTCTCGATGCGGTGGCGGTGACCACCAACTACGTGGTAGCTTACCTGTTGCTCTTCGAGATGGCCAATCTAACACCTGGCAAGAGTCTACTCGTCCACTCGGCCGGTGGTGGTGTAGTAAGTAATTTCTAAATATCAATACGAGAAATTCCACCGGACAATTCAGTTACCGAAACAGTGTCCAGAATATTCTGCAATTGCTGTTATTTGAGCAAACGATAAGGCATGCTCTGGCCAGGTGGAGAGATGATCTGCATTACGCAGCAATTAGATGCTTTGGAACAGACCTAAATCCAACAGTGGATTGCCCCAGACTGATGATACAAGTAAATGTTTATGTTTCCCACTGTAAACACTTTGTACCGCCTGATCATAAAAAGCTATAGAATACATCTAAAAACCTCGCCGTCCTAGAAGACTAGCGTGAATTATTTTTACGTAACATGATTATACTTTTTTCGTATCGCCGGTAGGTGTGATAACCCGGAGGCTTAAAAGGTGACCAAAAATTGCATCGTGTATAAAAAATCTGTCTACTGTCATTACACATCTTGTTGGCGTAACCATTACCACAACACCGTTCGCCATCTTCTTTAATTAAAATTATATTATGCCTAGCTTGCAATTTAAGTATAGTAAAGCAGGAACCTTCTGTAATGCGATAAACATATTATATTGTATTGTTTAAGCGGTCAGACAAAATCCTATAAGCGGCTTTAACTTCTTTGCAGGAAAAACCAATATAAGAAATTCTGCACGTTAAGATTTAACTTGGCAGAAGTTTACATGTCATTAACACGGTGTTATGATTATAAATAATCTAGGTTTATTGAAGTTCAGTTATTATTTGTTGTAAATGATCTATTTCCACTGACTGTATCAAATTATAGCTACAAAGGCATCCGCACGCTAGCAAATGCTTAATAATAAGATTTGCCAACATTGTAACAAATTGTCTAATTACCGGTCTTAATTGGGTGAGAAAAATTCTACTTAGCTTGATTCTAGCAACGCGCTTCCTCTATTACTCACGAGTTGAGCGCGTGTCATTGAACTGTAATAGCAAACTTTTGAAAACGTTGCAATGGCGTGATATTTAAAAAAAATGTAACAAAAGTCATTTAATTAGGGTGTTTTCATTAATTACGTACTGCACTAAATATAGTGCTACCTCATAATTACAAGGCACTACATTTAGTTGCTCGGCTGTGAGACATAATGTACGAGCTAGCCGGTTCTTATCCCAGTGTATTGTATAAATGAGTATATTTCGGATTTCTTATCGGATCGGTTATACGGCGATAAGCAACCGGGCTTTACAAGATTTGAAATTTTTCCGTCCAGAGCTTGTTTCATTTTCGTTTTCAACGTTTCATTTTGACCACCATTGCGGTGGTGATGGTGCAGGATCTGATAGGCCGTAATAAATATAACATATCATCAGGGCCAAGCAGTCGCCCAGCTGGCGAAGACTGTGGATAACGTAACCGTGTTCGGGGTCTGCTCCAAGTCGAAGCACGAAGCGCTGAAGTCTAACAATAACAACATTGACCACCTTCTGGAGAGGGGCAGTGACTACACCAACGAAGTCAGGAAGTGAGTATTGTTGCTTTTCTTTTCTCAAAATAGGGATTCGGTGACTCCGTGGCGCAGTTGCTAAGGTATTGGCTTCGGCGTCCGGGTTCGTGGGTTCGATTCCTACACGGGACAACTATTTGTACGACCAACAGATATTTGTTTCGCATCTGGGTGTTTGTCCTCGTGGAATTTATGTTTGTAAAACGGCCTTACAACACAGGATAATGCTATCCTAAAATGAGGGCAATGTTTTAAGAAATATATCTATTGTTATTTTTACCTGCTGTCTGTATTTGGGTATCTTCGAACCTAGTTGTGAAATAAATTCGCATCTCAATCTACGACTACTGTACTATAGTTATCTCAAATGTGTTAATGTTCTTTCTTCTTAACCTTACATACACATTTTAGAAAATCCATTCAGAAACATCTAGAATAAAAGGACATTTTACAAATTGAAATTGTTTATAGTGCTAATCTTTGCACTTAAGATTGTACATTAAAATATGTACAATCTTAAGTGCAAAAACAATGTAGAGGAATGCGTTAAGATTTTCGTCGCTGTGGTCATCAGCCGTTTAGCTCAGTGGCTAGAGCGTCAGGCCGCGAATGCCGAAGACGTGGGTTCGATTCCCACAGCGGCGACAATCTTTTCGCACTTTTTCTACATATTTTAATGGACATTTTACAGTCAGCTTTCCTCCGCTAAGAACAACTTGTTTCGAAATGACTAAAGTAATAATTCATCGTGAGATGATCATGTTCGCAGTATTTTTGCTCATTGAAACAGAGTAATGACTCAGTTCATGATTAATTCCCCCTTTAAAATAAAATGTAAAAATGTCCGACTGAAACCATGAAATCAGAGTGCTAAAAATATGATCCACTCTCCGCTTCCCTACCCTCCACAAAGGGCATTTTGTACACAGTGTTTCGTAAACGCAGATTTATTTTATGCGTTGATGTGTATTCATTGGTATTGTAAAGTCTATGTTATCAGTTATTTGTAAATAAACAAAAACATATATATTCTCCCCTTCATTTCTATATCTATATTAGGTTTCCTTCCCGTGTGACTAATATTCGGTGAGACGTATTCTTATCTCCTCATCCATTAATTACGACGGCTACTTAAGCGAATTGAATTTTATTCATTCAAAGATCCCGCATTCCTCGCGCTCAAATATACCATTTGTTCCAGATCCCATGTTTTAATTGATGATTATTACAGCCACATACTTCAGTGCCGTGCCACCCATCCAGCTCGTGTGACACTAGCTAGCCAAAATAAGTTGATCTATCCAACAGGCTTTGTATTATCGCGTGTTGATCCCCAAGAGATAAATTCAAGGTCCAATTAAACCGGACACTGCGGGCCTTAATTGTTCCGTTTATAACCCGCTCCTTAGGGCAGCTGCTTCGTAACAGACATGGCATTTAATTCTCGTAAATAGACAGAGATATTTTTATAACGGTTTGGATCTTTGCAACGTAAACAATTCGAGCCTCACAATCTTAATGTAAACAAACAGACATTACTAAGTAACGTCGGTTAGGTGCCGGTGAAGGTTTATCTAAAAACCGATTTTAGTGTTCGTACACCATACGGCTACGGAAATGAAGAAACGTTGTGTTTTATTGCATTTAGCAGGTAAGATAACTGCTTTCGTTACGTTAATAAAACATCGAGCCAACTTCAACAATCCGAATGTGGCGCGAAAACTGAAGAACAATACTTTCTGTTGTTAGCGTGTGAATTGGACTTCACTGAGGTTTCTTATTTCTCTGATCGCTTTATCAGGATTTCCCCTGACGGTGTCGACATTGTCTTGGATTGCCTTTGCGGTGAAGAATGCAACCGTGGCTACCAGCTCTTGAAGCCCATGGGACGATACATACTTTATGGTAAGCTTTTTAATGGACGGTACCTACTGTATTGAATTATATATCATTAAAGTGTTTAAAATTTTATTTAGAAATATTATTTAAATAATTTTATTTTAAATGTTATTAGTGCTTCAATTTTCAACTATTTCTTTCGGAAATAGCACAAGTTTTCCCAAATAATGTCTACAGGCCTCTGATATAGGCCTCAACTTTCAAATCTCACTATATCGTATGGGTTGTCGATCCTGCGTTTTGGGTCGATCCAAAACGTTAATGGCGAAATGTTTTAATGCCTCATCGGCTTACGTAACTAGAATAATGGCGTGGCATTATGGTAATTCAACGGGCGCTTCGTTTTATCGCAGGCTCGTCCAACATCGTGACCGGGGAGACCAAGAGCTTCTTCAGCGCAGCGCGTGCCGTGAGTGTCTAATGCTCTTAATTATCTGATCCCGTCAAAATGCTTTCAGTGGTGCCATGACTCATATAAATATTTATGTTCCCTGCTATTTAGTGCGCGAGAATAATTTTCAATGTGATTTTATTTAGAACTTATCGTGTTTGCGATCACTTCACACTTTATTCGACGCCTTCTCCGATTTTAACCCGTCTCTACCTTGTATTTAGGGAGTGTGGGAACGCATGGTTGCTGCATGCGTGTCTTGACCGGAAATTCACACGGCATCTTAATATATACAGCTCGGTAAATGACCAGTATAACAACTCGTTAATGCTGTTCTCTGAGATCTTATAATTTAAACTTTATGTTTTTTTACTGTTGATCTTATTGTTTACTATTGCAATTTGTATCAAGTATCAGGTATATTTGTATCTGATGTGTACGGTAACACGATCGTATTTAATTACTGTTAATTATTGTATTTAATTTAAAGCAGCCTTAAAGTATTGTTGTAACATACTTTAAGGTTGCTACACATGGTCGTTAATTGTTTTTTAAACTAGAATTACAGTCGCAAACCTGTAGTTCCTACATGCTGATTGTTTGTGATACGTCACTGGAAAGGCAAAGTTACTTACCCGCCACGTTAGGCATTTGGCGTTTAAGTAATTTTGCCAATCCATTGACGATTTTTAGTACCTCTCCTCATTGGTCGAATCGATTTTCCGACAGTGGTGGCAAGTGGACAAGGTGTCCCCGATCAAGTTGTTCGACGAGAACAAGAGCCTGGCGGGCTTGAACCTGCGCCACCTGCTGTTCCAGCACGGCCGCGCCGACTACGTGCGCCGCGCCGTCGACAACGTGTTCGCCCTCTGGGGCCAGGGCAAGGTCAAGCCCCTGGTCGACTCCACTTGGGCCCTCGAAGACGTTAGTACCCCGACTCGCTTTCACCTATTCAAATTCACAGATGGTGTCAAAAGAGGGTTTATACTGTCCTTTAAGGTAAGCTAAGGTTTTCCTTAGCAGACTTTCTAAGCTATGGCCGCCAGGTACTTGTCATAATATAACTTCATTATTACGGGGTACGAATAACAGTGACGAGTCAAAGGCAAGGTCAAGCCCCTGATGGACTCCACTTGAGCCCTCGAGGACGTGAGTACCCCGACTCGCTTTTATCTATTCAAATTCACAGATTGTGTCAAAAGAGGGTTTATACTGTCCTTTAAGGTAAGCTAAGGCTTTCCTTAGCAGACTTTCTAAGCTATGGCCGCCAGGTACTTGTCATAATATAACTTCATTATTACGGGGTACAAATAACAGTGACGAGTCAAAGGCAAGGTCAAGCCCCTGATGGACTCCACTTGAGCCCTCGAGGACGTGAGTACCCCGACTCGCTTTTATCTATTCAAATTCACAGATGGTGTCAAAAGAGGGTTTATACTGTCCTTTAAGGTAAGTTAAGGTTTTCCTTAGCAGACTTTCTAAGCTATGGCCGCCAGGTACTTGTCATAATATAACTTCATTATTACGGGGTACGAATAACAGTGACGAGTCAAAGGCAAGGTCAAGCCTCTGATGGACTCCACTTGGGCCCTCGAGGACGTGAGTACCCCGACTCGCTTTAATCTATTCAAATTCACAGATGGTGTCAAAAGAGGGTTTATACTGTCCTTTAAGGTAAGCTAAGGTTTTCCTTAGCAGACTTTCTAAGCTATGGCCGCCAGGTACTTGTCATAATATAACTTCATTATTACGGGCTACGACCGTACAAATAACAAAAAATTCAAACATACATGCACTTCAGAGGCAAATAACTTTAATTTTTAGAACATTTCTTCGTTTCAAGCTCTTGGATCTTGTACAGCTTCATCAACTTCTGAAATATCTTCATTAAAGATTTTATTATACTTTCACTTAACTGGTCTTCGCTGGAGCAGTGGTGAAACATCGCCTGTCCAGTTGTCCTAAGAACCATTGCTGACAGATAATATTATATTACTCAATACTATTTCATATTTAAAATAGTAATAATGCTGGAGGTTTTAAGTACTTTTCTCAAGGATAGCATTATCCTGTATTTAAGAAAATTCTTAACTTACAAATGGACGAATTTACACATGAGCGAACGGATCCAACTAAGATCCGTGACAATCATCCGTAGAATTGTTAATTACAGTGCAATGACCACCAAATGAATGTCTGCCATCAAATGCCATGAATTGATGACGTGATGACCTGATGACGATTTTCTGGATTAACTCAATTACCATAAATTTTAAAATAAAAACTCTTTTCACCTTAACGGACAATCAAGGACACAGTTGATTAAATGAAAAATCATTAAGGTGAAAAGATTATTTGTGTAGATTATTTGTTAGTCTTTATGATTTTTATTACACATTCAACGATTGAATATAGGTTGGCGAGGCCATGCAGAAGATGCACGATCGCAAGAACATTGGCAAGCTGGTGCTCGATCCGTCTCTGGAGCCGAAGCCGAAGCCGGCCACCCCCGCAAAGGGGAAGTCCGGAAAGGAGAAGAAGCCGGCCAAGGAGAGCTCTGAAGAGAAGAAAGAGAAGGAGACGAAGGAGGAGGAGAAGAAGCCGGCTGAGAACGGTGAGAAGAACGGCGAGGAGCCGCTCACTAACGGTAACAGCGACGAAGGTCAGTCTCGTACTATAGTGACCAGGCATGCGTAGTTGCGTAGACGCTTCACACCGTACGTATCGTATCTATTTATCGATATTGTTTTTTTCTACTATTATTATTCGCTTAATATCATTTCGGACTAACTACGCACACAGTAACGGTTAAGCGCACATTGCGAGCTTTTTATCTTATGACGTTACGCGTACATGTCATGTCATACGACGGTACGTGAGCAGCCTTCTCGAGTTATTTTTATATCACCGGCGCTTTATTGAACGCCCGCTTTTCGCAACAACGCTTAAGGCGTGGCCAAAGAGGAACATAAAAAGCTTCCATCTTATTTTTTTGTTGCCACAACAACCAGACTTGAAATAAACTTGTAGTAACCGCCACGATGGGCGTGACCCATCACACCTTTGGATCGCTTCACGAGATCGCTAGTTTTGAATCGCCCACAATCTTTTTTCCCCATTTTAAAATTTAAGGCTGCTTAGAACAATGTGCGCTTAGTCGGCTTGGTCATGACTAGTCGAGTCATGCGACCTTGAAGAAGAAACTGGATTCCGTAAGCGCGGCGTCCAAAAATGCAAGGCGTTGTTATTCTCATTACGGAATTATGCCATTATGATCTCGGGAAATAGCATGCCTATACAATATTATTAATACGCTTATATATGCTTTAGGCAAAAATAACGTATCATAAATTCATAAATTCTAAAAGTTAAAGCGATTATACGTAAGTTATTGTAAAAGCTTTATAGATTATGAATAAATGTTATTGGCATTGGTTATAGAGAAAATTTATGAACAAAATATTGAAAGTATAGAAGCAATAAAAATCGTAAATAAAAAATAACGTAATGCTGAATATTCACTTACAAATATAAAAAATTAACAGCGAACAGGATTTATTTGAGATAACACGCGACAATCGAGTAACTAATGGTCGAGTTCCATTTAAGCACCTAGATAATTTATCAATTTTCTTTTCTAATAAAACCATTCAATTCCAGAGTCGAAGGAGAAAGAGAAGGAGAAGGAAAAGGAGTCCAGTTGAATTGTTTCTCCAGACAACTGGAGCCGACGAACCACCGCCGATTCATTATTTTAGAGTTGAAGCTGATGTTTTCGAACGCGTCGCATCGCAACCGCTTGTACACGCGCCGCGGCCGATCTTTTATTGTGTTGCCTCATGTTTTATTATGTTTAAAATAATCTAAAATTAATAAGTCTGAATACGGCCCCGTTCGATCCTCTTCTAGACCAGTCAACTACAAATAGGATCGCACGCAGTCGATAAGTAATACTTAAATAAGTTTAGTTTATATATCCATTTGTCATTCATTTGACGACAATAGAAAATGTACTTCTATTTGAAATTATTACAGCGAATTAGCATTTGTAGTAACGGTTACATCAATATTCTTTTTTTTTTAATCTGGCCTAAGTTCGTGATTGTTTTTAAACACATACGAGTCTTTTATAGTTTAATGTTTAAGACTTTATTTTAAGATGAGATATTTTAATCAGCAGTTATTTTGGATGGCTATTATATATCTAAGGTGCAGAGATGCTTAATGTTTATGTATGTTAAGCTTTAATATTTTATTAGTGAATGTTTAAAATTTTTGGCCCGCGAGATCCGCGCTCGGCCGCGCCCCTCTCCGGCCCACTCACTCCATCTATTGGACAATTCGACCTTTAAATCCTTGCGTGTGATATTTTGTATTAGGTACATATGCTAAATGTTTTGCGGTATTCTTACGACCCGACATGACATTATTATTTTTATTTTTTAATTGAGCTTAAATGCGATCGTGTATTTTATATTTATATTTTTATACTTAGACGTTTTGTAAATTATTTTCTAGATAAGAATTTTCTTCCGGGATTTTATTAATGCACCAGTCATTGTGTGGCAGAGCATTTGAACGATTTATCCACCTCGTCGTTGCCCTTACTGCGTCTTATAACAGTCCATGAATTGAACTAGCTTCCACATTCAACACTCCAAATTCATGTAAAATTCAACGTAATCGATGGCACCTAAGATATAAGTCATACTTTTATAACCAAGCCGACTACGAGATCTCTTATTAAGTAAAAGCTTTTTATGTATCTTTACTCAAACATCACATATCTAATCATTAATACACATTCACACAATGTATATTAGGATAATATTTTGATACCAATATTCACTGCATTTGTTTTTGATATAACTAGCTATATTTGACTATTCCCGTATTATTTTTATATAAGATTGTAAGTAAACTTTATTGCCATAATGTACAGTATGGTTATAGTCGTGTACTCAGTACTAAAAAAGGATTTATCTGTAATAACATATCATACGGATATAAAATTATCACTGAGGCTGAAAAAAAAACGTAGTCCGGAACTGCCGACGTATAACGAGGCACAACAAGTTCCACATTTACGAGTTCTGCTCAAACAACAATAAACCTGCCGTAGCGTCGACGCAAGTTCGTCCGACAAAATAGATGCATCTAACGGACCCTTAGGATTTTTATATGGACTTTTTAAACCTTTCCCTTTTCGAAACTTTTTGCACGGCGGCTTTTGTGTCGTTACTGTGAATTGGCGGTCTCGACGCCATGCTGCTTTGTTTATGGTACGGTGGCTTGGTGCTAGTTTCATATTGTGCGCGGATACAAAATCGCTTCAGTGTGTCGGACCAAGATCTTTGAGCTGTTTTAGTCTTCTTATCCAGTAATATTCGTCGCTTTGTGTCAAATATGTGCGAATTTCTCTTAATGTAAACTTATATAATTATTAATTGGTCGATTGATCGAATCTTGTGTATATCAACGACCTGTATAATGGTTTAGATCTATCTGAATTCTCTTACATAAGGTTCACTGACGACATTCAATAGTAAGACGGGCTGGGGTGACTGCGCCGTTTGTGATCGTGTCCAACAAAAATTGTTGTAGTTCAGTGTCGATATACAAGTCGATATTTATTAACTACGGAGGGGAACTAGTGACGGAAAACCTGCGCTGTCACGCCAGCTTATTTTAATATGCTGGGTCGTTATTGTATTACACATTTATTTTTGTAAGGGCGGGCCAGTGTGATAACTATACTATGAAAAGGATAAATAAATATGTATGATCTGTAAAAATTTGTTTTATTTACATTTGAATATAACTATACTAATCGATGATTAGGTAATGTCGGAACGGTGGTGTATTTTCAGTTAAAACTCTGTTGAACATTTAAATATTTTCTGTTCAAAAAATATTTCGAAAACTTTAATGTAAATAATGTTTAATACCATGAAATACGGCGCTAACAAAATACTTTCTGCTATAAACCTTATTCTGATTTCATTATCATGTTTTTTTTTATTGTTAAATATTTAAAAAAATAGTAAAACTCTAGTAAACAAATTTTTGATCGGATCGGTCTTAAGAAACAATGAATAATAAATATACAGCGTGTCGTTAGGTACCACCGCGACATTAAATGAACACACATATAGAGGATAACTTTTTTAAATTTTATTAAACATTTACATTCTTTAAACATCAATATTTACCGAGTTATTAAATTTTCCAAAACTAACGTTATTAGAACACCCTTACGTATAAAACGGTAACGTAAAATTCATTTGTAAAGGCATCATTCATCTTTTCATCTATTCATCTATTCATCACAAAGCATATGATTGTGTTAAATGAATTTGAAAGAGATAAAACATACAGTTAGAAGGAGAGATTTGTAATGTGACGCTGCGGCAACGAATAAAAAAGTGTCTGAATTTATGAATCAGTCAGTTGTAGTTGTATAGGATGTTACAAATTTTGTTTATTTTTTATTTAATTAGTTTGTTTGAAAAATATATATTTTTTAATTATGGATTTTTTAACGTTTTGCATTTTTTATGATTATTGGCAAGTAGCCTTAGACGTGTGTTAATTTATTGTCGCGGTCGTAACGACACGCTGTATAGGTTCAATAAAAGCCTTTAAAAATATTGTTAATAATTGTTAGACATTTGCCTGTTTCAAAGTTGATTTAACTACCTATCAATATCAAAGTTTAGCAGTGCTCGTAAGCAAGGACGAACTGGTTGTATTGTATATTATGTAATTTAGCACTATGTGTGTACGTATAGTGTTATTGGGTGTGCCCCGGTGTGTCCGGAACCTTTTAGTTGATTAGGATCTTACGCGGTAATGAATACTGTGGTTACCATATAAATAGGTTAAAAGATATATATTTAATTATGAATCTAATCCACCAATGTGTAAAGAGAAATGATTTATGCTCAGATCAGAGTATTTGGCTTGGCTTAAATTCAAGAAGGGTTAAATTTTGTTTGAGGTTAGGGAGGTTAGGTTATATATACCTATTAGATTTTGGAGAAATGAATATATTTAGTATTATGTAAATTAAACTAATTAAATTTATTTAAACTTTTTAGTACTAAAAATGTGTTTTGAAGTTGGTCCTTTTTAATTAAAAAAGTTTTTGTAACGTATGTACGTTATGTTACATCTTTTTAAGAAATATTTTCGGGATTACGCTGTTGTAATGCAGTTTTTCATAGAGTTGGGTTGTAATGAAGTTTCTCGGATACCAGCGTGTGCTGTTCTGTATGTACATTTTTATATGGCCTGAGATTTTTTCAAGTGTACACGAAAAAATGTGTTAAAAAAAATGCAAGTGTATGAAATGTAATGTGGGCGCGAAACGGCACTTGTTGAACGTTACGTCAAGAAATTTCACCTTCTTTAAAGGATCGCTTAGGGTTAGCCGTAAAAGGTAATTTGTCTGTTTTGGCGGGCGTCCTTGGTAGGTTTGAGTGAGTTGCCTGTGGTGTTAGCCAAGGTGATGTGTATCGCTACATTCTTCTCTCTTTCAAGGGCAACTCTCCATTTTTAAAATCAATCAAGATAATCGGTCGTGCTTTAGAGGCTAGTAGTTATTCTGCCAAGTTGTTTTTCCATATAGAAGAGACGGTTGTGTCGTCCTCGAAAAGCGCAAGATCGTTTTATGGGTCTTTACAGGTGTCGCTCTTGTAGAACGAAAGAAGCTTTCAAGTAAATATGGCAGATCTTTTCGAATGCTTTTGAGTTTTGAGACATTTGGCAGTATTTCGGTCGCAATCTGGACAGGAGTGTGCGAGCAGAATATGTCGTTGCAGCAAGCCATCATGTGTCCGTATAGTTTTGCCAAACAATTAAGGAGAATTATCGGTGTAACGATTGAGTAGTTTATTTGGCTTACGAATGCTGATAAATATAGCATCACCTCCGTCATGTAAACTAGATAGACGTATTCGCGAGATAGCTAAATTAGAGCTATAGATTTTCCGCTAAGCATTCGTCTTGTCTTTTTCAGAGTTACTGAAAGTAACTCTGAAAAATACTAGTAAGCTCTATTATATACTAATAATAATTTATACTAAATTAATACTAGTAAGCATTCGTCTTGTCTTTTTCTGAAAATTACTGAAAGTAACTCTGAAAAATACAAGTAAGCTCTATTGGGTCAATCAGCGGTAGAGGTTCGCAGGATGGTTAAAATAAAAGTTAGTTTGTATTGTAAATATTCCTTTTAAAAAAAATATCTGTTAGACCTCAAAGAATATAAAAATAACGTCATTATTGTATTCTTCTTAGTTATATTAATGATTTGCCATATGTTGTAGAAAAAAAGCTCTCATAGTTTTGTTTGCGCATGACAATTCACTATTGTTTAAGGTTAATAAGAAAGATGATACATTATAACAGCCAAATACTTGTCGGTTCGGTTCAATAATTTCTTGTATGCCACTAAGACTAAATGTATCAGATTTAATCAATCTAAGTTTTCTCACAAACCAGGAATCTGTATTGATGAGAAAAATCTACCCCTTGTGGATTCAACAGCATTCCTTGGAATACGCATTGATTCAAAGTTGCAATGGGGAGTTCATGTAGATCAGGGGTGAGCAACCTTTTTAATCAATGGGCCAATTTAAATTTAAAAATTTTTTTTGCGGGCTGCACATAGTAATTTACGAAACTTTATTCATAATAAATATTAGAATAAGAAAATATAAAATAAAAAAAAGTAAAGATTTCAAAATATTTCTCTTCAGTATGAACTACCATTTTAATATAATTAATTTTATAACAATATATTGCTGGGAGAAATTCGATAAAATAAGTTCAATTTTTGAAATACTTGGCTGGCCGCATAAACATGTTTAACGGGCCGCAAGCGGCCCGCGGGCCGCGCGTTGCTCATCCTGATCCTGATGTAGATAACAATAATAAAAATTAATAATTAACTAAGAGTTGTTGAGCGCTGCCGTCTTTGCCATACGCAAGATCAGGCAACTAACAAACAGTTAAATTAGTTTATTATGCTCATTTTTCCAGTATTGTTATATGGTGTTTAAGTTTGGGTTTCCTCATCCAGTTTAGACACAATATTTGTATTGTGAAAGCAAGCGATACGGTTTGGCTATGGTACTTATTCTGCATTAGACTCCCATTGTCCTCTTTAATCAACTGTTTGGCTGGCATCTGAAATATTCGGATGTATAATCATAGACACAAATGGTATGAAATATACACCGAAACAAAACCAATTCACCATTTTTCGAAGACACCTGACTTCACGCAAGAATATTCGTTCGTAAAGGCATGTTTTAAGCCTTATATTAACTTCACAGGTAAAAGAAAAACAATAAGTCAATAGATAGACCTGATAGCATCTTAGATTGATGGGGAACTTATTTTATCAAAAAGTGGTACGCGTAGAAAATAAAATATGTCTTTCATTATATTCATACTATTCAAAATGAATTATTAAAAGCATGCATTTGATCACAACTGTTGTAAGTTAATCTAAATATACACCGTAAACGACAACATTCCCGTATATATGACAATTTTCGAAGCTGTGCGCGGCAAAGGTGTCCCTTGTGTGATCCCATAGAAAAGAATGGAAAACGTGAACGCTCTGCTGCCTCTTCTGACCGATGGTAACCGACACAATTATTCTATATCTGAAATAATTATAGTAAAATTACATTAAAGATGAGAATTTAATAAAAGAAGTGCTTTATCAAAGGCCAGCAAAGCATTTGTGACTCCTCCGGTGTTACGAGTGTCCATGAGCGGCGGTGACCACTAACCACCAGATGGCCCGCCTGCTCTTTTGCCATTGCCTCCTTTTCCACAAAAAAAGTCGGAACGTTAACACAAACTGGGTAGACTAATAAATAATAATTGTTATTTACTTATAATCGATCTTACCAAAACTCATAATAGGGTAATCGTCGCTTAGCAGGCATCATAAACTTGAGAGACTGAGGTAGAAGTAACTGTGGCAGAGCCACGCAGCAGCCTCGGCTGTTGCACGAATGGGCAGGCTCGTCCGAGTAAGTACCACGACCTCACAGAAGACCGGCGTAATGGGAATAATATTTGTATAATATTTTCGCGTTTCGACTAGTGAGTGAGGTAGCCGGAGACCAATTTTCAAAAAGTTCTCAACGTATCTGCAACCCCAGGTGTAGCAGATGTCCATATTCACTTAACATCAGGTGACCTGCCTGCTCGCTTGGCAACTTGTCACAAAAAAAGGACAGTGCTATGCTATACTAACTAAAGAACTACCTAAAGTGTAAAATTCAACAAGTTCACATTTTTTTCATTTAATTTGTTAACCTCCATTAAAATAAAAAATGAAGTGATAAAAATACGAAAATTGTTATGGGTGACTGTTAAATTACACCTACACATCGTAATTCGATCTTACCAAAATTTCTTTGGTTGATGGTTTATCACCATCTACGTTTTTTTCTACTTTTGAAACAGAAGAAGCAAACGAAAGACATGACCGAAAAGCCTACGACCCACGGTAAAAAACACATTGTGCTGGTAAATTTAACATTTTTGTTGGCTAAATCATCTTTAAATTTAATTATTAACGGATATGGAAAATCAGTTTCTTATTGTCAAATTTAACTGTAAAGTATACCTGTCATAGTTTTGCTCTTTTATGGCTGCCCGAATACTTTCAGCAAGGTTCAAACATAGGTCAGGAATTACTTTATCACTGTATTCAACTTCTTGTAACTCAGAGTCTACAAGTTGTTGCAAAATCTTCTTTACATTTTCTTCGTGAAAACGTTTCTTTGAATTGAGTTGATACGTTGGTTGATAAATTCGCACCTGTGTAGATAAAACCTTCTTTTCCGACATGTTTTGTATAATCAATATCGCTGTAGTTATTATAACAGGGTACAAAGTTAAAAAAATGTTTAATCTAAAAGTTTTGCAGATTACTCTATATCCAGCTACAAAAAAATACTTAAAATTGTTGTATTCACACAACACCATGGAATCGATCGAACAGCAATAATGACAATAAATTATCAAGAAGGACGAGGATTCTTCCATTCCCATTGTTTTATTGTTTCTGCTTTTTTTTATTAAAATTAGGAATAATCGTTGTGCAGTTTTATTATATTTACCATTTTTTGTTTGCTTATGCTCCGGCCAAATAAGTCAGCGCCTAATTTTATCGATGTTCTTTTAGATTCTTTCGACATTTGGTTCTTATAGAAATCTTTATGAGTACAGAATAAACCGGCCGTTGAGCAGATCTCAGCCAACTAGTTTTTAGGAAAATTTGAATATATTTGTAAGTTTAAAATAAATATCATATTATTTTATAGAAATATCGGTATTTATTTCTAATATATTAGTACCATATTGATAGTTTGATATTGGAATATAGACATCGACATACGTTTTTATATAAGCTATTATTTTTAAAGTTTTTCGTAAATTATTTAAACTTACAGATCATCGTAAGCTTTTTATTAATAAAAATTAAACAATAATTAGTAAGCAGGTTAAACGAACATTTTCATACAATAATAATTTAATTTGTTTTATATATAGAACTGATACCGATTGGGGAAGAAAGATTCTTGAGTGGCAGCCTCGTACTGCCCTCGCATGATGGAGTGATGACATGTACAAAATACAAATGTGCGGGAATTCAATGGATGCAGTCGGCTCAGGATCTTCAGGGTCTTTGTGGCAGTCTATGGGGGTGGCCTATGTTCAGCTGTGGATCAAACAGGCCGAAATGATGATAATGATGATGAATAAACATATTGGAATATAATCCTTATCGGTCATTTTTGAGCTGACGTAATTTTTTTTTAAAATAAAGCCAATATATCGTTAAATCTAAAAATCGATTTTTTTTCGATTTATCAAACTCTGATATATATATATATAAATATCCATGTATCAATAATCCGATATTTTTAAAAATATCAATAACCTTAGCCCTATCCAGTATCCAGCTCTTCTTCTGAATAGAGGAGTAGGGATGCCAAAAAGTTATCGATGTATCGATATTATTTATTAAATACATCGATATTTTAGTCATATTAAATGAAACTAATTTACGAATTTTATCGCATTTTTAAATTTTGATTTGATCTCCCGACTTTTCGAACCCTTTCCAGGTTTATGGTCACGGGACAGACTAGTAAATTACAATTATTATGTATAATATTCGCGTAAAATCAAGAAAACGATAATTTAGTCGATATATTTTGATCCGATATCGATATAAAATATCCAATATCGAAATCGATATATCGATATTTTCTCTTCGATATATTGAGGCCAATATTGATATTTTTATAAATATGGATACATTTCTTCATCTTTGAACAGTGTACTTCTATCGTACTTGGTTTATATTTGTGCTCACTACTCTTTAGGAATGTAACATTGGGAGAAAAAATCGATTAATCTAAAATTCTGTCTTCTATATGAATCGATTTGGGACAAATTTAAAATGGAAATGGAAATAATCGATTATTTCTTCGGTATTTTATACTTTTCTTCTTTTTTGTTACTCGAAAAGATTGATGAAAGAAAGGAGCGGCCTATGTGTGTTTCTCTGCATGATAGAGTTCGTGGCAGACTCGTAGTTGCCATCGCACTCGAAGTGTAGGACGACACCTACTATATGGAATGACGTCGTCTGCAAGTGAGTGGGAAGTCAATGGATGCTGGTGGCTTAGAATAGTGCTCGTGGAAGTCTGCATTGAAGGCATATGTCAACAGTGGATTCAAACAGGCTAAAATGATGTTAATTTGATTCTAAAAATGTCTCTATAGCAATTATGCTTAGAGATTAGTAAAGTGGTAATTATTTAAAATAACATAAAACGACAACCTTCAGGATTCATAACTGAAATACAAAACGACTGTTTGTAAAATTTTATACTTTAAACAATAAAAAAACTAAAATAATATTTGCCAGAAATATTCAATGTCATTTAACACTTTATTAAAATCAAATCTGTTCTTGAGAATTTGAGAATTTGTTAACTTTATTTACATTTTAAATTAAAGTAACTTCAGTGATGCCATTAATATTTTGCATGCTATTTATAAATTAACATAATATGTAGATCAATATTAATGATTTGTATCACTCTACAAAGTAAAGTAAAAATAAAGTACGAAGCATCAAATTTTAGTATAAATACCATAATTATTATAGTATAAAATGCAACTCTGCATTCACGGCAATACTAGTAATAGACCGCAGTTTTTTTCCGTTAATTTTTATCTTTTACGGCATTGAATCAGTTTGAATAAAAATATCGTTTTTGATACGATTTCGGTATTCAATTTTTTATATCGATATATCGGATCAAAATATATCGGTCAATAACATCGATATACTTTTAAAAAAATATCGATATATCGATATTTTTTTGCCATCCCTACCTCTTAATTGTGAAATGCTCATAGGATAGTAGTAATCATAAGCGTAAGTTTATTTATCTGCGAAATGCGAATGCGACTAGTTAGTTTTTGTTTTTTGTTATGTTTTGTTGGTTAATATAGCCGCATAGCATATACATAATTATGTACTTATTATTATATCTATGATCGCCGTTAAGTGAAATGTAAAAACTCTTTCTTTGATATTAAGACAACAAATAATTAACCAATAAAAGTTTTTACATTGTGTTAAAATATGTTAAACGAAGACTGGTTATTTAAATCTTATGTTTTAAATATATGAAGAATATTTTTATAAATCTGAATATGAATCATCAGATAAAGCTAACTAATTTCTTCAAGAAAAAAAGCGGCAGACATAATCTGAGTATGGATACCACCAAGAAAAGAAAGTTAAGTTTAAACATGGAAGCCTCTCAACCACTAACACAGGACATTTCTAATTTAAAAAATGAAAATTCTGTTACCGTAATAGATTTGTGTAGTGACGATGAAGATCAAATATTTTCCGAAAAAAAGGGTCCTAAGTCTGAAACAACAATTTTATATTCTCCAACAACTCCCAAAAAGAGCCCGCAAACTCCTTCACACAGGCAAAATAGTAGTAGCCCGGGATCAAAAAAAAAGTTTTTTTCACCAACTAAAAACCGTCGAATAATTTCTCCTGCGGCAAAGAAAAGTTTGAGTAAATGTTTATTTACAAATAATGATAATTCATTACTGGATAGTTCTTTTTTTGAATATTGTGCAGGCTATGATGATAAAAGTAAGTATAATTTTAATTATTTTCCGAATTACAACTGGTATATGTTAAATTTTTATCTATGAAAATGTTGGAATTACATATATTTTATTAATAATTACAGCAATCTTTTTGTTGAAAGTTATTCACAAGTATCTCAAAGATGATTTACTTAGATGTTTATTACCAGAGGATGAAAATGGGTTTCTGTCAAAATGCTTGGATATTATGAAACCAGGGATGTGTTTGGTGTGCAGATTATTTTGGCGACAAAGAGGCTGGTATAGAAGAAATGACCTCAAGAAGATTTTTGATAATACATGTGCAATAGATGATCCACATTTAGAAATTATTATACATTCATTAATACAAATTGGCTGCCTTGAGTCCTCTGAGAGTAGTGGTATGTTTAATGCTTATACAGCGTGTCGTTACCATCGCGACAATAAATGAACACATGTCTAACGCTACTTGCCAATAATCATAAAAAAAAATATAAAGGTTAAACAAAATCCATAATTAAAAAAAATATTTTTCAAACAAATAAGTAAAAAAGAAACAAAATTTGTAACATCCTATACAATTCGCACCACAGCGTCGTATTACAAGCCTCTCCTTCTAACAGTATGTTTTGTCTCTTTTAAATTCATTCAACCCATTCATATGCTTTGTGACCTTTACAAATGAACTTTACGTTACGCTTTTATAGGTAAGGGTGTTCTAAAATTGTTTGTTTTGGAAAATTTAATAACTCTGTAATAATATTGATGCTTAAAGAATTTAAATGTTTAATACAACTTTAAAAAGTTATCCCCTATATGTGTGTTCATTTATTGTCGCGATGGTAACAACACGCTGTATATGTATGAACTTTATTATATTTTATTGACTGAAATTAGTGGTTGATATTGCTAGTATTATTAAACAGTTTGTAAAATTACTTACATTGGGTACTATAAATTAAATAACTTAGAAAGTCTTTGTTCGGCAGAATACTTTGAAGACTTTACAAATAAATTTTGTTTTTGTTGATTGTTTTGAGTAAGGAATTAATAACATATATATATATATATATATATATATATATATTATATATATATATATATATATATATATATATATATATATATATATATATATATATATATATAAAGCTATGAATATTAAGGTGACAGGAATTTAGTTTGTGCTTTAAGTAAACTGAGGTAATGTATCAATTACTTGTAACCTGTCTAAAAACCTTGGTAAATTAACCAGGTTTTTCAGCACCTATATACATACATTATTGGTATGGGCTACATATTATACATATGTGAATATGGAGTTATTTCTTTTTTAAAGATAGCACCAAAATTATCATGGACTTTGATGATTATGTTCAAGTATTGAAACTTGACGAACTGAAGGCAATTTGCAAGGAGTTGAAATTGAAAGGACAGAATAAAGCACAACTTATTAAGTCTTTGAAAAGCTTTAGTTCCCAGCAATTTAATATAAGTAACTATTTTATTGGTCTGAACAGTAACAATGCAAGTAGAGTAATGAAAAGGTTGGTATGTATATTTTAGTTCATGATCTACTATTGTCATAATTATAATTAATGTACCATACAGTTATTAATTGGATTTTGTTTTTAAACCTATACATCAAAGGAAGTGCCGTTTTTCTAGATGTCTTACATTTAAACCATAGCTCAAGGGTGCAGGTTGACCTATCCAGGTGATGATTATGGAACCTTCTTTCACATCCTTATTTTTTTAATTTACAGATGTATCAACTCTCTATTTGTGGTTCCAAATACCAAATTAATCTCATAGTGGATTTTTACTTAGAAAAAAATAATTAATTCAGACATGTTTTCTCCCATAGGCTGCGGGTGAAGACTGGGTCCTGCTATAGACTAACGGAGAGAGCTCATCGCACATTAACAAAGCTGTTGTATCTTATGTACTTAGGTATGGATTATGCAATGATCAGAGAAAAGAAGTTAGAACTATTGCTTCTCAATGATAAAGTTAAAAAAGAAACATATCCTATTGGTGATGACATGCCTATAGACAATGCTGGTGTTGTATTCAGTAATAAAGATGAATTCGAAAGGTAATAATATACATTTCCTAGTTATATTGTTTTTTAATATAACCAAATTATACATATGTATTCAATAATTGTTGCTGATTTGACATTTGTTTAGTTATGTTGTGATCACATTCATTTTAATTACTTAAAATATCTATGTTAGTTTAGTTCAATTTTTTCCCATTAACATAATATAAGGAAACTTTATTTATAGATTATTTCTTTAAATTTTTACATAAATAAATAATACCTCTTAAATGTCTTTCACTTCTTCAAAACCAATTAAATCATGGATATAATAAACTTCTAGTTTTAGGTAACAATCTTCCAATACTCAAATTTACAATCATATTTTTCTTTAAGAAATTATTAAATTTCTGTAATATATGTATACAACTTAGAAATATTTTTCAAAACAAGTTTACGGTGGGTACTTAGTTGAATACAAATAATATTTATTATTTTCTGTATGTTTATTCCTTCTAATTGTTATTCTGTAATTGTGTGTTATAAAAAATAAGATAATTAAATGAAATATTATCTTTTGTCCGGTGGCTAGGACAATTTTGTGATATATGTAACACAGTGTATATTATAATTTTCTTTTTAGCTATTTTAATGCATGTCTATTGCTTGAGAGGTGGGAAGAAGCACAGAATTTGACTGACAAAGTCGAAATAATCGGAAAAGTGTATGACACGTATCGGAAAATTGGTGAGGATAAAATGATACGGTAAGAACATATAATTGCGTATTTTTTAAATAATTTATTTATTTTATAAATTGTTATTTATAGTGAAACTTTAAATTGTAAATTTTTGGAAATGAACAAAAATTATCAGCGCATTACCAACTAAACTAAGCTGCCGATAAACTCACGACGTGAAAGTCTTGACATCTACGTTATTTCTTTTATGTGAGAAAGTGGCAAATGAGCTGGCAGTTCACCAGATGATAACTGCCGCCCACGGACATTTACAACGGTTGCAGATGTGTTGCCACCTTTTAATAATGTGGGCCCCGGCTACCTCACCCATCAGACGAAACGCAGAAGTGTAACACTTCTACTGTCCGCCGGTCTTCTGTGAGGTACTAACTCGGACGGACCTGCCCATTCGTGCAATAGCGAATACTGTTGCGTGATTCTACCACGGTTAAGATGTTCTACGTTATATTGAATTTGCATGAAACGAGAAGAAGCCGGTTCGATTCCCGCCGCCTCGAAAGGTATAATAAATATTTCTTCAATACCCCGGTTTTCTGTAAAATCGTGCTTGATATGGCTCGTTCATGGAACGAGATTGAATAATTTGCCACAACCTTTTATGCCATTAGAACCGAATGTTCAATTATTTAAGTTGCGTATAAAAGTATGTATTGTAAATTGTTAAAACAAACTACGTAAAACGGCCTTACCTTTCCTACTCCATTAACTAGCATGTAGTAAGAGGCGGAGAGAGGGAGCCGCTGAGAGTCGAATCGAGGCACAACGTTGCGTTTTATTCTTACGTGACGATTTCAATCAACTATCCTCCCGCAAGCGGCGTCAGAACCTCCGATACAATAAATGCAATCCATGTAAATAATTGCGATACAAAAAATCCCTTGTCCCTTTGGCGACCTGTTCAATGAAAATGTCACGTTGCAGCTACAAATCGCTGCCGCCGTGGCTGCGCAGGTTCACGCCGGCGTACTTGTTCGTTCGCGTATTGGAAGGCGGCGTCCAGGAGTTGAAGAGGACCAAGGAGGCGGGCAACGTCTCGCTGGCGGCGGAGATCGTCGCCGAGCTGCTCTCCCAGCGCGCCTTCAGGCAGCACAAGCGGCCCGACTGGTACGCCGAGAGGGCGCTGCTGTTGCACAACCACTTGGGCTGCCACGACGCGGTGAATATAGATATATCTATATTTATAAAAATAGATAGCCGTGATAGCCCAGTGTCCGGGCGCTTGCTATTCAATATACTCGAGCAACCTGAGTTCGATACCTGTCCATAATGAAATTGTTAATTTTAAGTGCCGACGGTGAAGGAAAACATCGTGAGGCAACCTGTATATTTTCGAAATAATAACAAAAAAAAAAAGAATATATGTGAAGTTCTCCAATCCGCAATGGGGCCGGGTGGTGGACTATGCCCTGGTACTCTAGGTACAGAGGAGGCCTTTGCTCAGCAGTGGGACATATATAGGCTGTTACTTTTTTTTAATAAAAATAATTACCCTTGATATATCTAAGGGAAAATATCGAAATTAAAATTTTTATAATGCTTATATCTGCATTTACACTTATATCTGCACTCGCAAACTCGCCGCTATGGACGATCGAAGCCACGTCTTCGGGATTCGCGCCCTGACGCTTTAGCCACTAAGCTAAACGGCTGATTGATTTTTCCATATAAAAAAAGAAGGTCATACCCGAATTAAGAATAGAATAGAAATACTAAGAAAAAAAAATACAGGAAACCGTATACGTATAGGCGGCCTTATTGCTAAGGTAGAAATTCCCGAAAATCACGGCAACCTTAATAACCACCAGTTTTAGAACGATATATTCTCCGTCGAAAATTGCAGACAGACCTGCCGCCACGGATTGTGAGTGTATATAAATATTTATATATACACTCAATCCGTGGCGGATTGGGTTCGATTCAAACCCGGAACAAGCAATTGTCTGACTCACAGATAACTATCCCGGATCTAGGTAAACGTCTTGAGTCCTGCTTTAGTTACTGTTTCGGAAACCTGCACGTTTTCGAAACAGTAAGAAAAATAATAATTCGAAGATATTTATAGTCCTCTAATCCGCAGTTTAGTCGCTCGGTGGACTATCTCAATTATCCCTCTGCACATTGGCTCCCGTCCAGCAGTGGGACATGTATATGCCGTTGCTTTACTTTTCTAGTCGCGTCGTGGACTATATCTTAATTATCCCTCTGTACATAGGCTATCGCCAAGGGGTAGGCCATGTATAGGCCGTCGCTTTAGTTTGTTCACACGGCAGGCGGCGGAGGTGCTGCTGGAGGGTCTCAGGTCGGACCTGACCGAGGAAGCGAAGCAGGCGATGCAGCCGCGCGCGCTCAAGCTGGCCACAATGAGGTCGAACCGCATAAGCCAGCTCCTGAGGGGGGAGTTGGCTGTGCTCGCCACCGGCAACGCCCTCCGCGAGGTGGATTTCGACGCGCACCACATACACCAGAAGCCGATGGAGTGAGTTCCACTGGCGACCACCTCAACCAGGGTCGGCCAAATCGAACCAAAGTAATAAAAAAAACTTTTTTTTTTCTGCACCTGATGTTAAGTGAATACCGCCGCCAATGGACATCTGCCACACCCGAGGGTTCCAGATGCGTCCACCGTTTGAAAATTGGGCTCTGGCCGCCTCACTCACCAGACGAAACGCGAAAGTATTATAATTCCACTTTACGAAGGTCTTCTGTGAGGTCGTGGTACTTGATCGGACAAGCCTGACCTATACGGAATTCTTCACTCTGTATAGGCTTATTTTAAGCTCTTATTGAACGTAAAAACACTTCCAAGGGGGTTTGAGGTCTGGCAGGTGGCCGGTCGTAAAAAAACCTAGCCAAAACCGCTTACAACATGATAAAGGCGGGAGGATGATGATGATTGAACGTCAAAAAGCTACCACAGGTTCACTAAACTAGACCTGTCCAGAGAAGAACAGGCAAGAAACACTTGTCTTATCTTATTTCAATTACTACCCAATGGTGGTATCACCACTTAAAATCACGCGAACCGCCAGATCTTGTGGCGATTTCAATATGGTAAAGACTCTCAGTTTGTCCGTTCTGGCTTAACTTGATTTGACTTTAAAGGTGGGAGCGAATGCGGTTTTACTTAATTAGTGAGTTTGCCGTGAAATAGATCGCCCAAGTAACATCGAATGAGATTATTATGATAATGCAAAGCAAGTTCAGATAAGAACAACTTTAGATATATGATAATAGGAAACAAGTATTGTTTTAATCAAGAAAGCTGAGCAGTACTCATGTTTCAATAAGCCTCATAATAGTCATTAATAATGACTCATTATTCATTAAAAACAAACAAATACCACTCTATTATAAATGCATGATATTAATATAGACCGAACCCAATTGTTATAATATGGTACTAATGATTGTATTGCTTGTAAAATTTCAGACGATTCAACAATAGGGGGAAGATCAAATTTGAGACGCGATCAGTAACAGGCGAGCGCATTTTCCTGGAGGCGGAGCAGTTCTGCATCAGGCATTACATTAGCAGGGGAGACTTTACCCACGGTAGGATAAATACGTGAAGCAAAATCTCTGTACTCCATTTTACGAAAATCGAGTGCAGAATGCTAATAATTTTTTTATTTTGCATAAAAGCATAAAAAATACATTACATCAATGAAAAAACACACATAACACTACCATGTAAATATTTAGGACACATTCTTTTTTTTTTTTTTTTACACAACGTTCTCTAGTCCCAAACTAAGCAATGCTTGTACTATGGGTACTAGAAAACTGATAGACATACTTAAACATATATAAACACCCAGACACTAGAAAACACTATGCTCATCACACAATATTTTTCCAGTAGTGGGGATCGAACCCACACCCTCTGGCGCAGAAGGCAGGTACACTACCGACTACGCCATTCGGGTCGTCAAAATCGTCGTGTATGATCAGTATGGTCGAATTTCGACCAATGGGCGACTACTAGTATATTATTATTATACAAGCTGGCTGTGCCCCACCCGCTTCGCTGGGTCATACCATTTTCTTTAAGTCAAGACTATCGTTGGTTTTGGATAAGTAATCACAAACATTTGTACTAAAACCTTCTCCGAAAAACACGCATCGCCTACGGGTGTTGCAAATGTCAATGGGCGGCGGTTGGCACTTAACACCAGGTCAACCGCCAGCTCGTTTGTGCCACCTTCTCACATTAAAAATAATCCGTTTCAGGCGAACATTGGGAAGGCAGGCTGGTAACGACAATCTTCTTCCTACTTTTCTGGGACATAATCTATATGAGGCTGCCCGGTGTGCGGGGAATATTCCTCACCAAGTTCTCCATGTACCCGCAAGACATGTTCACCGACAGCTTTTACGTGAACAGGAAGACGTTGATTGACGAGAGACTGGCGACCATAGAGAATATGGAAGAGGACGAGCTCGTGAAGACCATGAAGGAGACATGGGACAGCCGGCCGGAATGTTAGTGACTTTTTATAATTACGAGAAGACACGATTATTCATTAATTATTTAAAAATTTTTGCTTTATTACCAATTAGCGAAATAAAAGAGCCTGGCCAGTCGTGCAACAGCCGAGGCTGCTGCGTGGTCCTACCGTAAATAAAATCGAATTGCAGCCGAACGTTCGGGCATAGAGCGCGCCCTCGGCTGGGAGAGAGTGGATGCGGTCGGCCGTTGCCTCGGCGGGAGGGGAGTGGCCTCTCTGTGCCGCCGGCTGGCGCTCAATTTCCGCTACGCCAACTCGGGATTCCCCGACCTCACGCTGTGGAACTCGACCACCAAGCAGGTACGATCGCTCCACGGGTGCCGACTTGGAGTTTGCAAAATGTATGAAGAATTAATTTAAAATGAAATTTTAGTAGGTAAATTCAAACGAAAAGTTTGTCATTCTGGAAGTTTTGGTTTGTTCTTAATGAATTTTAGCTATTCAAGGGAAGGCACGCGAAGCTAGAATCGTCATTTTCCCTCATCGTAGCCCTATATACATATATTACAAACCGTTTGAATCTACGGAACAAGAATGCACAGAATTCGCCAAACCGTTAAAACGCTGTCAGATTATTAAAGTCAAAGCTATGATTACGATGTCCACGAGTATGAGAATGAGAAATATGAAAAGCTACGTTTTGATGGCGGATTTCGCGGACCTAACCCAACGTATTCTTTATTGCCCCAGTGTTACGATCATCAAAATTAATCGTTTGATATAACTTACATTATATAGTTAAATGAGAAATATGATTAATGCTACCCAAAGTATATGATTAATGCTACCCAAAGTTCCTCGCGTAGGACGCGTCTGAGAAATTTATATCCAGATTATAAATAAATGTTCATTCACCGTTAGAATGTGTAATGTTACTTTTAAACTAGTCATGTAATTAAAGTATATTCCCTAAACATTTCTACCGTTTCTGTCCCGTCCAGATAATGTTCGTAGAGGTGAAGACCGATTCGGACACGCCGTCGGTGAAGCAGCTACAGTGGCTACGCTACCTACGCGAGTGCGGTCTACGCGTCCAGCTCTGCTACGTGGGCGCCGACACTACGCGGCAACGCGCGCGTGGGCCCCACTGCGAACTCGACGAAGAGTGATCTACGCGCGTCACGAAATGTCTTACGTCCCGCTCTAGCAAAGGAGCTACGGGCGGCTCCCGTTTTATTCCGTGTCTCGCTCTAGCAAACGAGCGCATGTTTGTCACGATCTAGGAATATGGACACGGTTATATCTTTTAGAAGGACGCACTGAATGCGAAGAAAGTTAAAGTCCAAATTATTTATTCAAACCTTTGAAACTATAAGATACGACGCAGTCTTCCAGCTATAATTTTGTGCTAACTCAAAGATGTAACAGTTCAAAACGTCTTGTCTTCTAATGAGAGTTTTATACCATGTCATTTAGTCTACACAAGGGTAAGGTCGTCAAAAATGTAATTCCTATATGTATATATCAAGCTCTATGTATAAATCAATATATCTAAATGAAATATTTTTAATATTTTCTCGTTTTTGTATTATCGTTACATAATCATTAAAGCTGATATTTTCTAACTCCTTACCATTTTCTTCATCAATCTGTTCTTTTTCACTATCAGAAATCGTCAGCTCGAGAGAGCCATCTGGCGTTTCACCTGATGTTAAGTGATAAACGCCGCCCATGGGCAATTGCAACACCCGTACGGTAGCAGGAGCTTTTAATGCTCTTTTTATGCCCTGCCCATTTGTGCAACGGCTACGACTGCATGGCCCTCCAACAGTAGAAAGTTCAATTTATGATTAATAATAATAATAATATAATAGTAAAGAAGAAAGATTTAGCAATTGTAATCGAAACTGGGCCTAATTTATGTAAATCGAAGAATGCTTTGTTTTCAAACGTATTTTTGACGTCAGCTATAGACGTCGTTATTTTTGGTTTTTTCGATTTTGTAATTAACATTTTGCGTCTGTCGCTTGTTTTGTTAATATGGCTTATTGCTATATCTAAGCGTTTCTTCTTCTTTCTTTCATATCTAGTTTCTGTTTGTGAACAAAAAAAGCTTACGCTGCGATATGCTATTGTGTTTTCTGAATCTGTGAAACCTCCTCAAAACATCTCAATAGTACTTTTTATGATGATGTGGGTTACATGAGACCTAAAACTGTAAGGGTTTAACGGAGTTACGCTATATATAGAATATTTTTGGGGCAATAATTATTGAGCATAGTTATTTAACTACTAGAAATATATTGCATGTCCATCTCGTAAGCATAGATGAGGTAAATGCTATTAAATAAGTAAATTATTATTAAATATTATTTGTGACGCTCTGCGAAGTGAATCACTTGTTTTTTAATTATTTTATTGGATCATATTTTGTTTTTGCAGAATAAGTATTATATGTTAATAAACGTAGTCTGTAAACAAAAGGATGTTTATTATCATTAAGACTGTAAAATACAAAAATTCTCTTAATTAGTTTTTTCGCGCATGTATATTTTATTAATCTGGCCTCTCTTGTTAATCCCTTACTGAGTTAGCACTGAATTAAATTTGTATTAATATAAAAAAATGAAACTAATTCACGGTACGTTCTTTTCCTAGGTCTCACACGAGAACATACTATCTATTTTAATGGTCGTATTATAGGTAAAGATAATTACCATTAAAAATAATTGTACTCAAAATTCAAGTTACTACTATGTAAGTTAAGGATATAGCTTCGGTATATCAAAAAAATCTAATAGATGTTTAAGTCATAATTGGTGCTAAACATTATAATTAATTGTATTAGGCTTCGAGAAAATTAAACTTTTTGTTTACATATTATTTATTTCCGCTATTATGACTGAAATGCGTGAGGTAAACTGTATTAACAAGTTTATTTTTGTTTACAAAAAGATAAAAACCAACTTAAAATATTTCGCGCACGTATACATGTAATACACGTACAAGAAACTGAATTGAGAACGAACTCAGATTTTATGTTGATTTTTTAAAAACAGGTCAACCGGTTTCGATTCAAATGGGTTCCCTGGGAATTATACCCTTTGAAATATAAGAATTTTCCAAATCGGTTCAGGCGTTGTTGAGTAATCTGTGAACATACATAAAAAAATTTCGCCGAATTGAGAAATTTAAGAATTTACGTTGATATGTATTTCTTGTCCTGTCCATTGAATAAATAAATAGATGAAGAGAAAATAAATTTTGTTAAATTCATGCGTGGATATAAACTGTTGATTGACTGTTCTCTCCCTGTGCAATGATTAGGCGGGAGCCAACAAAAACGCTTTGTATGAAAATGTAAGTAAATACTTCCACAGTAGAGCACGATGCATACGAAATGACGTCACTGATACACGCGTGGTCTGTTTCCAAGTGCCTGACCAGCAGTAGACCAGTGTACTCACGTGAGCCACGTGTATAGCGTGTCCGTGTGTAGAGTACGGCGTGCGCAACAGTGGGGCTCCGGCTTTATTCCCATCTACTGCTCCTCTATATTTAATTATTGATATAGAATAAGAATTACAAAACCTAGATGCAAATTGGACGTAGATAATCACAATAAATAGAAGCTTACGTTAATAATTGATATTGTGTAATGCTATGTACAAATAAGGTTTCTTAAGAATTTTAGTGACTACATGATCAAATTATATATTCTGTACTGTGAAGGTACATTCTTGTCAGACCAGACTGGATTTAGAAAAATAATTGGCATAAAGAAATGTCAATGATCTTTTTGCAGTTTTACACATTATCAACGCGATACAGAAATATTAAACGAGATATATAATTTAATAAACTGTCCGGCGAATTTATAAGTCAGACTTAATGTAAGAAGAATTATTGAATGTCGCGGCGGTTACAATGTTGACCGTTTTCATACCGTTAATAGCGATGTCCGCTGTATCGGCGATATCGGTTCTCTTCTTATACTGCAAAAACAGGGGCAACAGGAGAAAAGGGTATATGGACGTTAAAGAAAAACCTTGAGACCAGTTAATAACGATGAGATTATATTAGATTTTATTGTCAACGTTGTTACATACGTGCACGAAATAAAAACGTTTGCATTTTCGTAATAAGGTCGTTTAATTTCTTAAAACTTGTAAATCTAAAAAAAAATTTTAACGTTTATATACAATTTCAACAATAAACTTGATAAAAATTTGAAAGGTCAAGAAGGCACATTAATTACAAGTAAGTCTTAACATTTACATACATTGCTCCGAAACTCTACGTTGGGTTACTTCCCCGACAAGACCGACTTCCCCGACTACTTTCACCTCTTAAAAATAACATATCATCACCAACAAAGTTAAAAAAAATTAGATTGAGCATTTCACTATAAATATATACTGGCGAAACATTTCCTCCCTCATTTCTGCATCGTTCTATCTTTTCACGTTGCGTAACTAGCAAAAGCATGCAAAATTATATTTTATTCGATACAATAAACCAAATTCTTCATCAAATATTTATATAAAAATAATAACTAGGTACAATAGAACTACAGCTTCACCATCACCTACTCTTAAAATAAATGGTAACTTATAGAATATTTAAAAATAACGAGTAGATAAAATTTTTGTTTGTCCCGCAACGTCCTCTATAATCATAGTTTAATAACAAACTCAAAATAGTCTAATTTTGGTGTCAAAACGCAAAGAACAAAGCAGTCTAAAATAATTAAAGTTTCTCACTACGGGAAATAGTTTATTCATTACTTAGCGAATATATCCTTATCTAAGTTCACATTCGCTCGAAAAACAAACATCAGTTTCAAAGAAACAAATCGCGACTACAACACAGCCGATAGATAAAAAGATTGCACCATCAGGTAATAGAAACTTTCTCGATCTAAATAAGGAAATAAATAAATTGTGCCCGGAATACGATGTAATCCGATATCTATAACTTATCCCAATTAAAATACCGTATCCTATATGGGATGGGCGTTATGCAAAAATCCCCTTCTTAAAACCGCCCAAAAACACTATTGGTTACTTAGACCAATCGTATACTCATATCCGTAGGTGATTCATCTTGCGCATACTTCATTATATGTATACTTAAAAGAAATTTTCATAATTTCACTTAAACGTGTAAAAATATATATAAACCTCTATAAAAATTGAATAACAATTTATGTGTATAAAAGTAATAAATTCAATCTTGACTCTGTAAATATTATCTAAGGCACTATAATGTTGCACTGTGTTACAGCCTCTGCGCATATGTTGAATATCGACGTCCCTCTATAACAACGTTATGTCGGAAGACTTAACCAGTCGTGATGACGGCTCCGGGCTCCTGGAACAGTATGATCGTTAGCTGTGCTAAAATTTTTAATAATTTTAAAAATATCTTATAAGATCAAATGTTTCTAAACATAATAGGTATGTAGTACAATTAAAGTTCTACATTAATTTTGTAAATTAATTACCGTATAAGGGTTGGCTTACATGTCGGGCTCCTGTTTGAAGGCGTCTGTATCGTACTGGGGCGGCAAAGGCAGTTGCGGCACTAGTGGGGGGGAGGCATCGCCACCCACCCCCGCGCCCCCGCTGGCACCCGACACCCCCTCATCCACCACCGCCTCGGTTGATGCTCCTATTGCCAATAATTTTTGACGTTACCAGCGGGCTGTATTTATATATTATAAGGCGTAAAGGGGACGTCAGTACTGTGAATGAACGATCGAACGTAAGTTGGAGTCAATCACGTACGGAGACGGATCAGGCGATTAAACGAACGATGTACGGATAAAATCTAGTATGACGACGAAAACTGAAGAAATTAACGTACGATGTGAATGTATCCGGTTCGGTGAATGAACTTACGAAACATAGCGCGATTCATCCGCGAGAATGAAGAATGAACGACTTGAATGAATTAATGAATGATTGAACGTTCGAGTAAATGAAAACAGTTAAAATATTTAGCTACGTATTGTATAATAAAATATTTTTAATTAAATGTAATTCGAAATACGTATAGCATCATAAATGAAGCGTGGAGAATCTCATGTGAAAGCATATTAGCTATACTGATATTGATAATTTAGTGATTCCATTCTGAGCTAATAAACGAACAAAGCGGGGAGAGAGACCGATCGGGAAAAAGGAGGGAGTCACGAAGATCAAAAGGCTTTGTTATAAAAAGGTCTAATTCGAAATTCTTTTAATGAGAATTTTTCATCACTAAGGTGAAAAATAATAATAAGTTCTCCATTTAAGAGTTAAAAAACTAAGAGCAATTAAAAGCGCTGAGTGGGCATTAGAGTTGTGGATAGTGAACGTTATCATATCCATAGCACATAATTATGTATATCTATTTTATGTATTTATTTATTCTTTATTGATATATATACACCTTGAATAGGGAATTAAAAAGAGTAGGGCGTGAAGAATTTAATCGAAACCTACTTTTGCAAATTTTGTCTGTTTAAAACTAAAATTTACATCAATACACTGGCCAAAATATTTCCTCCCTCATCTCTGTACCACCCTATCGTTTTCTTACATACGATAGAGTAGGAAGACGAGTGGGGAGAGGACCGTGAAGAAGCCCGTGGGGACCCCACCTCCTAGCAGCATTTCCTGGAGGAGGCTGTCGACGTGCGCCACACCGAACAGCTTCGCGAACTGGATCTGCTCGATCATCTGCCACGTGATGCTCTGCAGCGGTGGCAGGCAGAGCAACAGCTCGCCGAAGCGGCCGCGCCCGTCGTACTGACGGTCGCTGATGTAGTCCTCGAGGTTGATCTGCACCTGGTAGCGGAGCTGCTTGATCTTCTGCGGCTGCGAGAGGCCCTTGGCGTCTGCGAATGTATTTTTTTTTTAAAAACACTGCCCTTACTTTAGGATAACATTATCCTGTTTCGTAAGGACGTTTTACAAACATAAATTTCACGTGGACAAACACCCATATGCGGAACAACTATCTGTGGGTCACACAAATAGTTATCCCGTGTGGGGATCGAAGCGACGACCCCCGACGCCGAAGCCAATGTCTTGGCAACTGCGCTACGGAGTCATCAATCAAAATTGAGTCGTTAAACGGCGCCGCTGGCTATCACGTTATTTGTTAGCATGCTGAGGCTTGTTTAGAAAAATTATGCGGAGGGAACGTGAATTAAAGACGAGCGCTGCTTTAAGGCCCGGTTCCTATATTCAACGAACGGACGTTAGTTACATAGCTTCGTAGCTTTAATAATCAATACTTTCCGTAGGTTATGCAACGGTTCGGTAAGGAAAACGCCTCATTTTGTTAATATAGGAACCGGGCGTACACGCCTTTTATCTACAACGCGTTATGAAAGCTATGTAACTAACGGCCGTTCGTTGAATATAGGAACCGGGCATAAGACTGTCTTAATTATCATGTTTTCAAAACCACCCTCCGCATGCTAATCTTTATCCTTAGTAATAGTCGAAGCGCAAAAGTTTGTAAGTATTGATGTATGGATGATTATTACACTTTCACGCAAAAACTACTGAATGGATTTAAACGAAGCTGCAGTAATACAGCTTATGTGCAAGTGTGCGGAAAGTTGGCTCAGGATCGTAGAGTCTGTGGGGGAGGCCTATTTTCAGCAGTGGTCTTAAACAGGCTGAAATGAATGAAACAGTACATAGGCGGACCAAATGCTAAAAAACATTATCTTCCAGTCAACCTGAACGATATTGAATAAAGACATTCGCATCCGATCTTAATTTTAACTGTGGTACGCCCACGCATCCGCAACCCTACGGGTGTCGCAAATGTCCATGGGCGGCGGTTATCACTTAACACCGGGTGAACGGCCAGCTCGCTTAAACTATATACGTAACAATTATGATTTTACTCACTGGGATCGAAGAAGACGATCGCCTTGAGACACGCGAACTCCGTGTCGTCGATGTCTATCTCCCTCAGCGGCTTCACAATCTCGTCCATGACCCGCATCCCTATCATGCTGATGTCTATGTCCATTCGGCCGTCTGTTAGAACGAGACGGAAAATTTAATCAGTTTCTGTGTAAACTGTGCAACGTTGAAAACGGCCGGAATATGCGAGATGAATTAAAATAATTCTCTCACATTCTAGTGACCAGCTGAATACTTTGGCAGCTACATTCTTACAGACGCCATTATCGCTTGATCTTATCCTTTAAACGAGCAATTCTTGTGTATATATATTATATAAATATATATAAAAATTGCTCGTTTCGGAATCGGAATCTCGGAAACGGCTCCAGCCATTTTCATGAAATTTGTGTGTGCGTAGATTCGGGAGCGAAAAATCGATCTAGCTAGGTTTCATTTTTTAGAAATATCCGTTTATCCCTGTTTTCAGGGAATGAAAAATATCATTCGAATATGACGGTAAATTTCGCAGAAAAAAAATGTTATTATGGTTCGTGTTACGATCACATACATATTTATTTTTTTACTTTTTTTCTATACCAGACCATTGCTTTATTTTTAATTTTTTGTCCATCCAGATGATTTTGTTCTTTTTTCCCTTTTTTTTTTAAAGTTCTTTCTTTTGTGAAAAACGCCAGTTCATATTTTCTTATTATTACGTCGGTAAGATCAAAATATTATGCATATTTCATTACTCAGTAATTTGTATCTAAATGTAATTTCCAAAATACACGATTTACCAAGAAAAAAAAACCGAGCAATGCTCGGTCCTCCAGGTACTTGATGTTTATTAGTCAAGTGGGTGTAATTAAAAAGGCTAAGGCTGAAACATATTTTTTCGGTAGTATCAGGACAAATGTTTTCGATTTTTTTTTGTTATTACGTCGTAAATCTGCAGGTTTCTTCATGATGTTTTCCATCACCGCTAAGCACGTAATAAGTCGGCACTTAAAATTCACAATTTCATGTGTGTCGGCACCGGGGATTAAACCAATTGTACGGACAGTTGGCTAACACGGCTCATTGCTTTACTTTGGAAGAACTCACTAGCAGTGTTCGTAAAGATTGCATATTTCATGCGCTCTTTACTTTTCTAAATAAATGGTAATGTTATGTTCTAATTTAGAAGGACTAGGCACGGTGGTACGTTATTCCTGTCTGTTACAAGTAACAAATAAATTTCTATAAAATAAATGACCTTGGTCACAAGTATTGGCCAGATATAGTTTTTAGACATATAGAGTACCGATTGCTATATTTGTGAGAAAATCTTATTAAATTTTCTTTCATTTCTGTTGCCGATCTAGAGTAAATTTTCTGGTTATGCTATACGCGTAGACGAATGTCATCGCTTTAAAGTCAACTCCTTTAACAATGAGCCGGTTTCCTCAGAAAATGAAAAATAAATCGCACCGAAAATGTGTATTCCATTTAATAAATGGGCAATTTAATTAATCTCTCGTTCAAATTATCGTTGTAAAATGATATTCGAAATTGTTTGTATGCTGGAAAGGATATAACAATGGATGCGGCAAGCATTGCTGCAAATGCTAAAAACCAATGTACATAAAATACGTTAAGATTTTCGTTGGTGTGCAATCAGCCGTTTAGCTTAGTGGTTTAAGCGTCAGGCCGCGAATGCCGTAGTTCCAAGGTTCGATTCCCACAGCGGCGACAATCTTTTCGTACTTTTTCTACATATTTTAATGCTCATCGATATAATTTATTGTATTTTTTTATCATTTATTTTATAAAAATAAAAGGCAAATGGAAAGTATTTAAAATTCTAGTGAAACAATACATTTTAGATTTGACGTTTTATACGTTTACAAAAATATAATGTTCATTTTTATAAAACCACTAACTCAGTTGAATTTTATTTTTGACTTCAGCTTATGACGTTTTGGCTCCTACTCTTAAGTATTATTTATACTGAGTTTGAGAAGTATTTTAGTCTTACAATGAAAGCAAGGATCGGACCGATAGCCAAGTGAATCTAAATATTAAATATGTTTCATCGAGCAATTTAATTATAAACAAGTTTGTTCTTGAATCGTTTCATCAGTGTTTTATATAAATAAATCACACCTCCCATCACACGCCTATCATGTTAACGTCGACAGTTGAATTGGTTTGAGATTGCAAAACGTATAGCGGAGCCAAATCTATTAGTGGTACAGATATAATCTGTACCATGCCGCATAGCAAATGAGTACGTGTCTTCGTACTGTATATTTACATTTAAGTGTACTATATATATTAAAAAGTTAGCAAGTGACTTTTTAAAATATTTCATTAATGGAATTGTCAAGTTACTTTTTATTTTTTTATGAACTATTCGGCCTTATCTACTCTAATTAATAAAAAAAAACATGCGGCAGGAAAGGGAAAACATGATTGGAGTGATTCTTCGAAAACGATAAACATAAACAAACGAAATTGCGATAATTTCTTCTGAACAGTATCGACGTGACAGATTGCAATTTCGCAGTATTCGTTAGGACGTATGTAGGCATCCAAGCTATAATTTTTCCAGAGCAGTGGACGTAGGCGAATCGCCGAGATTTTAGGGTTCCTGTTATTTTTTTATGCGAGAATTTGTAAACGGGCTGGCGGTTCATCCGATTCTGTTAACTGTTAACCGCCGCTCATCGACATGTGAAAAACCCATCTAGGGTCTAAAATGGGGTCCCACACGCTTGCCAGACGAAACGCAGAAGTATAACCTATAACCCTTCCACTTCACGCCGGTCTTCTCTTCTGTGTATTTTCTTTACAAATTTCCAGCTGGCTAAACCGTTCAGGAGTAGCTGTTATGTAATCTGTGGTCAAGATAAGGCGTGCCAATTCGGTACTGGTTGGGGGCCTATTGACGGTGGTGATACTTGCCGACGTGGCGATGACTCCGTGGCGCAGTAGAGGTGTCGGCTTCGGCACCGGGGGTCGTGTGTTCGATTCCTACCCGGGACAACTATTTGCGTGACCCACAGATAATTTATTTTGGATCTGGGTGTTGGTCCACGTGAATATTATGCAAGTAAAACGTCCTTACAACACACGATAGTGTTATACTACAGTAAGGTAAGACAACAATAGAAGAATAGAGAACTGTGGTATAGGGCCACGCAGTCTCTCCGTTGCACGGATGGGCAGGTCCGACCGGGTAGGTATCACGACCGCACAGAAGACCGGCGTGAAGTGTAAGTAATATACATACAACAATATTGTTTCGTCTGGTGAGTGAGGTAGTCTGGGCCCACTTTATCGAAAGGTGGCAACGAAAGAAGGATAAACCTTCCCCGAATCCTTCGCCATCTAGCGGCAGCTTGAGACCAACGCATCTGCGAACCTAAGGGCTTGGCATATATGTCAATTGACGGCGGTTATCACTTAACACCAGGTGACCTGCTACCTCGCTTGCTACCTTCTCGCATAAAAAAAGATCTTGGTAGCAGTCTACTTTCTTTCTCTCTTTCTTCTTCCAGTGTTCGTTGGGACTAAGTACCCAACCCCTGCCGAACAAAATGCAAATACGATTACCGATGTGGTGCTTGGCGATGATGCAGTTGTTTCCCAGCAACAGCACGTCCTTTAGGTGGAGGGAGCGGCGAGCGCAGCCCAGGAGCAGGTGCTCGCCGGCGTGCGCGCGCAGCAACGCCACCTGCCGACCAACAGTATACATGGACACATGCCGACCAACAGTATACATGGACACATGCCGACCAACAGTATACATGGACACATGCCGACCAACAGTATACATGGACACATGCCGACCAACAGTATACATGGACACATGCCGACCAACAGTGTACATGGACACATGGACAGATATCAAAGCCATTCGAAGCGATAAAGAAAGGCGCGGAAGAGTCGTTAATAACTCTTGCAAAGCTACCGTGGACAAGGTACGTGGACGCTCTGTATTCATTTTATAATTGTTTCTCAGGAGTTCCAATTGCCTATGAAATTAATAAAGTAACCTCCACCTTTTTTTGAAGTCGGTTAAAAAGTAGCAGCCTATCCCTACGGGGCAAAGGGCTCTTCTGTACAAAGGAGGACTTGCTTCTGACATATCCCACCAGTCCACCACGCGGCCCAACTGCGAATTGGCAAACCTCACTTACACTCGAAAGATTTTTTTGAAGTAACACTTCTTTAGGCGCAACTATCGGTCAACTGAGTGCTTTCGACGACGACAATGCAACGGAAACGCGTTACAGCAATGACACGTTTATATAACATCCGATTTTTTTATATTTACGCTGTATGGAATATGTTATTTACTATATATTATCTACAGTCTGTACTGAGGAGGCCCAGCAGTAATACAGCTGATATCTTAACTATACATTCTGTACTGAGGAGTCCATTGCCCAGCTGTGGGACAGTTGCAATCTTAACTATATATTCTGAACTGAGGAGTCCTTTGCCCAGCAGTGGGACAGCTGATATCTTAACTATATATTATGTCATGAGGAGGCCTTTTCCCAGCGGTGGGATATATATAGGCCGCTACGCGTACCTGGTCGTCGAGGTGCAGGTCCGTGAAGGCGGGTATGTACTTCGCCCATTCAACCAGAATCAGCAGTTGCTGCTTTATCGAGTCGCAGACGTCGTTGATCTTCGCCAGTTTACGGTTGTTTATCTCGGCGTCCGTCACGTTGTTCGTCTGTCAACATTAAGCCCGTGCGATGAAACTTCGAAAGATGGACACTTCTAGAAGTTCACCCAGAAACGGTGGTTCCACGCAGCCCGGGCCGAGATGGATGATATTTCAAGATGGCAAGCCAGCTGGCGGTTCACCTGATGTCAAGTGATAACCGCCGCGCATGGAAATTTTTGACACCCGTACGATTGCAGACGCTTTGCCACCTTTAACTTAAGTGGGCCACGGCTACCTCGCTCAACAGACGAAACGCAGAAGTATAGCTCTTCCACTTCACGCCGGTCTTCTGTGAGCTCGTTATTTCTCCGGATGCACCTGCCCATTTATGCATCAACGAAGATTATTGTCTGGCTCTGCAGCCACTTGAAGTATCCGGGCTGCAGTCAAAAACTTGATTGAGCTTGATATTGAAATGTATAGCAGTTCCGTAAAGGATCAAGATGATTTTTCGATGAATTTTCAAGATTTTTGACGGTAAATACGAGTATATCACCGATTTCACGTTTAGCGTTGACGTTAACTGTTAACTGTTAACCGCCGCTCATCAAAAAATTAAACGTCTGATTAAAGCCATCATATATGGTGTTTAAGGTTCCAAGCTCATTGGAAAATCGATAGCACCAGCTGTGTATATTAGTAATATCCCTATCGTTAAGATGAAAAAATTATCTGTAGCAAAACTCACTTCAGACTCATCGGGGATAAAACTGCGAGGCGTTGCGTTCGATATCGATTGCTTAAATTCTTGTCCAAACGCTGAACGCTGTTTTCATTGCGTCGCAACTAGAATGGTTAACTATGCAGTGATTAAAATTAGTTGAGATGCCGTCTCACCTCATCGATGACCTTCCTACTGAGGAGTTCTGCGTTCAACAGCGACACTACTGAGAGCCCGTTCGCTTGGGTTGGCTCCTCGTAAGACGGCCTCCTGCAGTTGATTCTGTCCCTTTCGTTCTGTACGGCTGTAACAGACACAGCGAATGAAAATGTCTTTGGTACATTTCCTTCGGGAGAACCACACGTCTGTCGCCGCGTGAATCGCGAGATGAATTTTTCGATTCTTCTATTCAGCTCGTGGAGAGATTGAAGTGTTTATGATTTTGATTTTCATATGGTGATTGAAATAGTATAATGCCAATCCTCTAATTTCCGGTTTCTGAAACACTGACCATCGTAGAAGTTCACTAATCAGCTGTCAAATGGTTTTTCAAATGTCAATTGAGTTGCCAAAAGGATGGGTAAACTCTTTGAATTGATCATGACAATCATTAAGAACATCATTCTGATCAATTCAGAGAGTTTAACCATCCTTTTGGATTAGTTTATCTACGATGATCAGTGTTTCAGAAACCGGGCGTAAGGGTCGGACACTAAACCGCAACATGTTGTTACGCGTGTCACAGATGTGAAAGCACCCGAACGATTCACTCGTTCATTTCTAAGATACTCCGTTGCTTGGCATAGAGATGACTCCGTGGCGCAGTGGCCAAGGTATTGGCTTCGGCGTCAGGGGTCGTGGGTTCGATTCCCACACAGTTGTTTCGAATCTGGGTGTTTGTCCACGTGAAATTTATGTTTGTAAAACGTCCTTACAACACAGGATAATATTATCCTAATGTAAGGGCAATGTCTTGAATGAGAGAGCGACGTTTTGAATTTACATGCGATAACTCAATATTGAACACACCGTAACATTGAATTTAAAAGAACAATTGCCAATTTAGCCGTGATAGATAAGTATCCGGGCGCCCTAGCACAGTTAGCCCGGTGCCGGAACAAATAAAATTGTTTTAGTCTCTTTTCTTATCGTATCTGCAATATGTAATACATAAATATATGAACATCTACAGCGGTAGATGTTCATGAGCGGTGGTTATCATATAACATGAGGTATACATAGGTGAATCGACTGCTCGTTTGTCAACTTTTGACAAAAAAGATAAATATATATAATAATTCTACACATTTCTGTATGTTTTCTCTTGTTATGTGGACCAATAAGAGAGAAAAAAATTCTCTGAAGATGAATCTGCCTCAGTCTTTTAATGCCTTTAAAGGGATTTAGATAACTTTACGCATGTCGAAACTGTGAGGATCTGTGTGGTCTTTTATAAGTCAAGCGCGGGAAAACTGTACTCATCCTACGATCTCAATGTCGAGTGAGTGTTCAAAATAGTGAAGACTTAAGAGACATGACAGTCAACGACAAAAATTAAAAAAACAACTTTTTATGTTGGTGTCATTAGTGCAAGATAATATTCTGCGTAAATCATGTGCTTATAAAATTATTCACTCAATTTTACCTATACCTAGTTATACCTATAATATATGCACTAGAAATCGCTTAGTCATTGTTATCCTTCCTTATAAAACAAATGTTTTAACCGAATATCGCATAAAAATTGATGAATCGTCGGTGCGTTTACAAGTAATACATCTTTTTTTTTTAATTTTAAAATGATATAATATTTATACAATTCCATCTTATAGATTTTAATAAATAAAATGAAGTAATATAAGAAAGCTATAGAAAGAAGTTTATTATAATATCGATAGTATATAGACACTATCGGTATATAGGCTGCGATATGCTGATATCAGTACATAACAGCTGCTGGGAAAGCAGCAAAGTTACGACACAAAAACATTTTTAAATATTACATTGATTATCGTTATCAATTACGTTTTATCGGGTTGCCAAGAAGGATTAAACAAGTTGGGGGTATTAATTACGTAATAAAATACCTACTAAATTTGTTCATACTTTAAATTATTGACAATTTGCGAGAATTATGGAGTTGGTAGAAACTCAAACTCCATACCCGTTGTAGACCTTATATTTGAGGACACTGAGCCATAGAGCCATAGCGGAAGAACCGGGCAATTACCTTCACCTCACCAACGTAGTGGCTTTGTACGATGGCTTATTTCGCGCATTTCCTTTCCCGCCGACAGTTCCCCGTGGTCTAATGAACTTGACCTAGGTGCCAATAAAGACTTGATTTAGTCACACGTGCCCCAGTGTTTCTATCGCTGATAGGGCCACCCACTAAATATGACCTCGCTCCAAGCGAAGCGATCTACGGCCGGTTTCTGAAACACTGATCAACGTAGATGTCAACTAATCAGCTGTCAAATGGCTTTTAATTTTCATTTTAGTTGCCAAAAGGATGGTTAAACTCTTTGGATTGATCGTTCTGGTCATTAGAAGAACATTCTGGTCAATTCAGAGAGTTTAACCGTCATTTTGGCAACTAAAATGAAATTTGAAAAGCCATTTGACGACTGATTAGTTGACATCTACGATGATCAGTGTTTCGTAACCGGGCGCTAGTCTTTAAAAATTAGATGACTCAGCTTAAAACGAAAAATTAAACTTCCTTTATACATTTACTCGGCATGTTAAAACAAGAAATAATTCTTGTTTTAACATGCCGAGTAAATCACCGGGGAGAACATCGCTTCTTAATTTCTTGTCAACTTTCAGAACATCCATGTATTTCAAAGAGAGTTTATAACGTTGTTATAATATAACGATCAATCTTACAAAAGCGTATATTACTTTTTGCTAAGCCATACAAGCGAACATTTTGAGAAGATTCTAAGTAAATTATAAAAAATAACGGGTTTATAACTTAAGTAATTGAATGCGAAATCCAAGCATCACATTTTAAAATTTTAAATTGACACTGGGTAAGTTCCAGTATTGTAACTATCTGTTATACTGTATTATAGTTATCTGTTTACAATTCTTACCATTACATTATTACTATTAATAGGCATATTTAGTTATTTTCTTTATATGTGAGTTATTTAAGTTATTCGTGCTGGACGAAATAGTCAAGGAAAAATAAGTATCGGTAATTGGAATCCCAGACACATTTCGATATTTAGTCACGTGGTCAAAGTACAGAAAGAATATATTTCATCGCATTAATTTCCTACTTTGGCGTAATGTTTAAATTCTGCGAATGTTATTAATAATTATTGCCTGGTTATTGCGGTAATTTCAGAGGTTTCGTGATATATCTTGGGATGAACGAATTGCTTTTGTCAATAATTTCAATCATAATTTATATGCAGTAATCGTTAAAAACGTAATGCACTTTACGTTTTTAACGATTATTGGTGAAGGTATAAATCTGATTCATCTTGTTTTTATTTCACTTTGCTCAAATAATTTAAGCAACGATGTGAGGAACAAAATGACGTATTGTTTTTATGAAAACAATATCATAAAATGTACGTTATTAAATTAAAAGTCGATTCCCGCGCAGACGCTTTAACCACTAAGTCAAAAGGCTGATAGCCAAACCGACGAAAATCTATACTTCTATTGTCTGTTGTTTCTACGCATTTCGAGCAATGCTGGTTCAATTCCTTTCCGCCCCCTTTTCTCCAAATTTTAATGTATGTTATTGTTAAATGTTCCTATTGTTTGTTAAAACAAATAATGCAAGTAAATTCAACAGCTATGCTATAAAGCTACTAACAAAGTATGTATAATAAAGTTTTCCATTATTTAATAACAAAAACATATTTATTCGATGATTAAGTTCTATCAGTATAATAAACATCAGTGTCACAGACAAAAAATAAGCGGTATATCTATTAGGTACTTTTCCGATGCACAATCAATCCAGTCTCTTATAATAACATATTATTTGTGTAATTATTAATCTGCAATTTATGATCATAAAGGTAATGTAGTGTAAGCAAAATGTAATCGTAAATAGTATACCATTTAATATAGTGAGCTGTATTTGAATTTAGTATTTAGTACCTGGATACATTTGTGATTTGACTAGTTATTTTCATATTTTTAAAAAGTTTATTGTTTGCATTACTTTTGAGAGGAATATATATTTTGATTAGAAGTAAAAGGATAATTTATTAAGAAAAGATAAGAAAATAAATACTCTTTTATCAATGCTAGTCTCTAGTATTTTAAAGAAAGTCCTCATTTGTAGTTGAATTCATAATTTGAAGTCACTACTAGCCACGGTTGCGTAGCAGCCACAGAGTATATCACGAGATACTTTTAAATTAGGCATTTATTTTATAACGAGCGCTCTGCTCTATTGAAATGAAAAATTATGTTGGTGAAATTATTGCATAGTTGATGGTGGCATCTTATGCGTGGTAAAATCTCAGTTATTTGGAGGTTTAGAAGTGGAATAAAACTCATTACATTCATACGTATAAACAAAGGTTATAGACTAATGATTTAATTTTTAGGAATGTTTGTACGATGCTCGCAAATATCTTTGTTTTTTTTTTAAGGGTAAAGAACGTAGTGGTAATTAAAATGTAGCTCGAAGTAATAGTTTAGGCCAACTTGATCTTATTTCATTCTTCATTATCTGAGAGCTTAATTCGTTTGGTAAAAGAACTGCATCAAAATATTTTACATAAAAAATATGGTACTCCGTTTGTACGAGAGATGCATTAATTAGTCACATCACTTGAAAAGATAAAAGTGATAAAAACCGGATCACAAATACTTCATGGCTTTGCCATAAAGAATAATCACATTTTTTTATGTCAAACGTTTGTTACCAATAATATTCAAAGTTTTACTCAGATTTGAATCGTCAGACGTACCTTCCTTTTTCATGCCAGCTTTAAAGCACTTCCTAAGTCTACAGTATCTGCATTGATTCCTCTTGTCCTTATTCACCACGCAATTTCTGCTGAATCTGTAACAAAAACACGTTATAAATGAAACGTCACATAGGTGACGTTATAAATGTGGTAGGACCACGCAGTAGCTTCTACGGTGGTAACTTACGGACGTATTAATTTCTATTTAAAATTTCGACGTTTCATAAGAACGCGCAAGCGTGTTTGTGAATAAAAGTATTTGAATTTTTAATTTGCAGGAACGGGCAGGGAAGTGCGACTTGCATTCATCCGGGGAAGTACCTCGACCCCACAGAATATGGACGTGGAGTGGAATTATTATGTTTTCCCGTTTCGTCTGGCAATCGATTAGTGAGGTAACCGGGGTCCACTTTTTGAAAGGATGTCAACGCGTTTGTAACCCCCCAAATGTCCACCGGCGGCGGTAGTCACTTAACATCAGATGAAACGCCTGCACGCTTGAAAACTTTACACATAAATAATATAAAATTAAGCGAAGACAAAATAAAGACGATCATTTTAAACATTAATTATTAAATTTAAATATGCGTTATTGCGGATACAGATATCTGCATATCTACAACAGCATTTTCGCACAAAAAAGTAAATTTAAATGGTTAATTTAAATAATATCCAAATGCAACAATTAAAAATTTATATAGGTAAGTATTCGCCTGTTTGTCGGGTGGTGAATAAACTTCGCGATAGAATGAATTAATTAAAACCCTTAATTTGTTAAAAAGTGAGAAATTATCCACAAAACTAATGCAGGCTTGATATACGGAAAGATATGTGTAGGTAATAACTTCTATGCAAAAGTGAAGAAGTTTTCTGTTCTGCGATTCTTCTAAGAAGCGAGTTTGAGGTTGGTCTGATTTTAATTGTTTGATTGGTGATGCACTGATTTATGGTACGAGGCTACGCTAGGAATTTGTTTCAACAATGTACTCAAATAAAATGCACTGGCAAGGAGAATTGTACACCTGCAAAAGGTTGAGCTCTAATAGACTCCTAATTAATAAGTTGTATGAAGTTATTTGCCTAGATTATAATTGAATAAATATAGAATTGTTAATAAGCAGAAAGATTCTCTTTGTGTTGATAAAAAAGGAGATTTACAGAAATGGGTTTTGTGACATATTTGCTCTATGTCCCCTCTCTTAATGCACTTATATTATTTACAATACCTACGTTATAATAGTGTATCAAAAAATATGATTTAACGATTGTGATGTTCACTTATTATAATCACGGGTTTGGAATCAAACACATAATAACAGTAAGTAGTAGACACAACTTAGGAGGACGTCCACTCGCCACCGATGACAGATCGTTAATGAGTGTGCGGCGCCATCTTCATCGCTGTGCTACCTTTATTCTATATACCACATCTCTTCCTTTTTACAAATATGTGTTTAACACAAATATTTTATTATAATCTAAATAAACGAAATAATACTCTTTACGTGAATCATCTTATTAAACTAAACTTCTTTATTAGGTGTGTCTTCGTGATCCACAACTTTCCATTGACCTTCTACTTTCTTTAGATGTACGATATTCCTTCTGTACTCCTGCCCAGTTTCATCATTTCTTATATTAATGTCGCTTCCTTCAGTACTTACAACGGTATGAGGTGTTGAATTAAATTCTGAAACTAATTTATTTTCTTTGATTAAATTCTTTACATACACTTTTTCCCCTATTTCGAATTCTCTGTCTGCAGCTCTTCTCTTCCTGTCTTCATTTAATTTATTTTTCTCTTTTTTTTCTTTGTCACGGTCTCTAATTTCTAAATCATCGTAGCTATTTTCGAGATCGCTTAAAATAAGGTAATTTGTCTCTAAACTGTCTTCCGTAGAACAGCTCGGATGGGGATTTTCCTGTGGAGGGATGAGGTGTACTATTATACATCATTAAATACTTTAATAAATCATCTCTCCAATCGGATTTTTCGCATTGGCTGATTCTCAGTCGTTTAAGGATGTCCCTATTTTGTCTCTCAACTTCACCATTCTGTTGAGGCCAGTAGGGAATAGTATTAAAAAGCGTTATTCCTTGTTCAGTACAAAATGTTTTTAAAATCCTGACTACAGAACTGTCTGCCATTATCTGTTGTTATACTAGCAGGGTTTCCTGTTCGTGAGAAGATTTCTTTTAGTATTTTTATAGTATCTACGGTGGTAACAGATTTCATTATTTTAATCTCTTTATATCGACTGTAATAGTCGATAATCACTAAAAGATAATCGGCACTTGGCAATGGACCCAAAAAATCTACAGCTGTATCAACCCAAGCTTTGGCAGGTAGTTCACGTCTTTTCATGGGTACAGGGGGATTAGGGGCTGAGACTAAAGTACAACCTCTGCAATTTTTTACAGTGTTTTCGGCATCTTTATCTATTTTTGGCCACCAAACCTTTGTACGCAACCTAGCTTTCATGTTGACAATGCCCGGATGGCCTTCATGTGCCGCTGCTAAAACCTGTTTTCTTAAAGATGTGGGAATTATAATTTTATTTCCCCTCAATAAAATATCATCATGTACCCATAGTTAATGCTGAAATAACTTATAATTAGTTACTATAGAGTCCCAATTGTTATTCATGATAGCGTCTTTGACTAGTTTTATTTCGTTATCATCATTTGACGCTTCAATAATTGATTTAAGGGGTAATGCATTGGGTCGCGCGTATTGGACAATCTGGTTAACATGATATACCTCTTCAAAGGAAATATTTTGTGAATTATTTCTAGTACACAGACGGGATAATGGGTCTGCTATGTTTGACTTCCCAGGCTTGTAAATTACTGTGTAATCGTATGATTGTAATCGAAGGACCCAGCGTTCTATTCGCGCGCAAGGTTTTGATTGCGTACCAAATATGACCTCCAGAGGCTTATGGTCTGTGACAAGCTCAAACTTTTTCCCATATAAATACATATGAAAATGTTCAATAGCCCACACCAATGCTAATGCCTCTTTTTCGGTCTGGCAGTACCGTTTCTCAACGTCTGCCAGACTCTTATTGCCAAAAGCAATGATGCGAGGTCCTTTATCATCGTACTGAATTAAAACAGCCCCCAGTCCTACAGGACTTGCGTCAGCTATAACTTGGGTACGATCTTTTGGGTCATAATAGCCAAGAGTAGGTATCTCGGAAAGATAATTTTTTAATTTATTAAAAGCTATTGTTTGTTCTTTTTGCCAAAATGCAGTGATGTTTGACTTTTTATGAACTTTTTGCCGCAGTAACTTTCGAATGGATTCCGTTAGAGTTGACAAATTTGGAATCCATTTTCCAACAAAATTAATTAAACCTAGAAAACTTTGGATTTCTTCGATGGTTTCCGGGGGTCGAAATGTTTCGATCGTTTTTATGTATTTGTCAAGTGGTTTGATGCCTAATGCCGAAAGATCGTGGCCCAGAAATTGAATAGTTTTTGCTTTGAAAACACATTTCTTTTGGTTTAGCAAAACATTGTTGTCTTTGAGTACTGTTAATACGTGATCAAGTCTAGAATCATGTTCCTTTTTATTACATCCAAAAACAACAATGTCGTCTATAAAATTTACGACTCCTTCACATGGCAAAAATATTTTTTCTAAAATTTTTTGAAAATGTTCTGGTGCACACGATATTCCGAACATTAATCTTTTGTACCGATAAAGCCCTTTGCTTGTTATAAAAGTTGTGATATCTCTACTGTTTACACTAAGTTCAACCTGATGAAAAGCGTTCTTAATATCCAATTTTGAAAAAAATTTAGCTTTACCAAATTTGGGAATAAGTTGCTCCATGGTGGGTAAGGGATAATTTTCTCTAATAATAGCTTTATTAGCAGCACGCATGTCTAAACAGATACGAACATCGTCGTCAGGCTTTAAAACCGGTACCATCGGGGAAACCCAAGGAGATGGCTTATTCACAGGTTCAATGATATCCATTTTAACCAATTCCTCTAACTTTTTATTTATTTTTAATTCTAAAGGAATTGGAACTCGTCTATAAGGTTGACAAACTGGAGGTACTGTTTTGTTAATAGTGATGTTTAATTGGATATTCTTGAATTTAGGAAATTGTGTTAGCTCAATGGAATTCACGTCAAGTCCTAACTTAAGCACATTAAGGGAAATAGCAGTTCCTTTTCCCAAAAGGTTCCTTGAACCATTTGCAATGACATAAAATTTAGTTATTAATGATTTGGGACCCACTTTTATCTGTGCATCAAATGACCCTAACACTTTTAGGGGATCTATGGCACCATAAGCCAGAAACGTTTTGTCCGAAGACTTTTGTTGATTACTAACTGTAACTTTACATCGTTTCATATGTACCCAAGTTTTATCACTAATAATGTTAGATTTACTACCGGAATCAATTAGCATTTTTATGTTTACTCCACCTACCTGACAATCTAATGTTGCATCGTCATCAATGTGGAAAATGTAATCTACAGATGTAGGGTCTTTATTAATGGCATTTTCCATTTTGGATTTTTTAGTTTTATTGTTGTAGTTTGACAGGAGGTTCGCATTTTTTCTTTTATTGGCCCTTGTTCTACAGTGCTTCTGGAAATGACCTCTAAAACCACATTTCATGCAATTAGTATTAATTGCAGGGCAGGAACTACTATCACTCTTGTGATTTTTGCTGCCACAACGGCTGCAAGAATCAACCTCTTTTTTAGTTTGCCATTTCGTTGTTTTTGTTTCAATTTTATTAAGGCTATTAGAAGTACTATTTGTACTCAGTCTATCATGAAACTCATTTAATTGCCGTTCTACCGTCTCTAGAGAGTTTGCCTCCACTATGATTTTTTCGATAGTTGCAGTGTCACCAAGAATCAAGATATTCTTTCTTAATTTATTCGAGCTACACTTTTCTGTTATTTGATCGATAAGATTTTCGTCTTCTTTAGCAAAATTACATTTAGAGCTTTGCCGTCTCAACCGAATCAAAAAAGTTTCGAATTTCTCGTTAGGTTCTTGTTTCATTAATCGAAAAATGTGTCTTTCAAATAAATAACTTTGTTTTGGAGAAAAATATTCATCCAACTTTTTAATCGCGATGTCATAAACGTTAATTGAATCGTGACTAGTCACATGAGCTCCCGGTATATTAAAATATATGTCTTGAAGTGCTATTCCTCCCGAATGCAGTAACATCGCACGTTTTTTATTGTGATCATTGGTATTAGTTGCCACAAAGTATATTTCTAAAGCACGCTTCCATCTATCCCAACGGGAACCTATGGAGGTGGGATCGCCTTCACAATCAAATGGTTCTATTGCCGAGACTTGTGATTGGAACATGTTGGACGATCTGAAAGCAGTTAAAACAATGGAGCAAACTAGTTTCAAAATGAAGTATAATAAGTGAAATATAATATAATTTATTTTACATTTAATAAAGTATTTTGAATTTGATGCTTTTTAATTACCATATATAATAAAAATCCGCTATGTCTAACATATTGAGTCCTTTTTTTTTTTTTTTTTTTCGACAAGGTGAAATCATTATGAATAATTTAGGCTTATAATATACTGTGACATCGATATATCTGCACAGGAATAATTTTATATTAAAACACAGCTGAGGCATTAATGTGTTCTAGAGAATGTGGGTAGACGTTTTTAATATTTTGATAATGATAGACAGTGAACGGTACAATTAGTGAACTATATTTCGTTCCGCCTTAACATGTTTAATGACATTTATTTGTTTCAACAATAACATCAGAGTGTCATTTCAAATAAGGAATTTGAAATAAAATCTTGTTGAAACTGGTAATTAACGATAAGTTCGTTGAAACAAATATTTGGTCGAATTATATCTTTCGATAGGTTTCGATATCATTAGTGTTTGCTACAAGAATTGGTCAATAATACATAAATTGTCAGTTTCACTTTACTTATTTTTTTAACTGTAATACTATATACATATAAGGTGATAATCAATAAACTTAACAAGGAGTGACAATGGGAAAGCAATTTTATTTTTGGAATGCCGTATGTTAATTAAGTTAAAATTGTTAACCGAAAATACTGTTTACAAAATGAAATACTGCTTTACTGCTAAGAGGCAAATTTGTTTACAAGTTTTTGAAAATAGTTATGCAATGATTCATCAGTGGACTTAACGCCGAGGGACATTGCACCTATTGTGCAATAACACAGCTCAATACAAACATTTAAAATTATATTATTTCTCTTTCTTTTTTTTTCACTGTTTAATGTTTTTTTTTTTTTTTTTTTTACTTCCTTGACCAATATCTGAGCAAGTACTTACATAATTTGAGCAATAGATTTACTTACTGCGCTTTTTACTCGTCGCCAATGTGATGTTCACTTATTATAATCACGGGTTTGGAATCAAACACATAATAACAGTAAGTAGTAGACACAACTTAGGAGGACGTCCACTCGCCACCGATGACAGATCGTTAATGAGTGTGCGGCGCCATCTTCATCGCTGTGCTACCTTTATTCTATATACCACAACGATTAACATTTTCTATTGAAAATGAGTAAGCATTTGCGAGCATTGAAAAAATATAAGGAAAACATTATTAAAAATAATGTAACGTTATTAATTATCAATGTGAAACAATCTTATACAAAATTTGTAAGTGAATCTAAATTGTAATTATTGCAAATCTTCCGTTATTGTGCAACATAAAATGCGATGCGAACTTTATCAGTGCAAAATGTTTTACTGCGGACAGGATAAACACGTGTTCGTTCGCTCGTAGAAATGTCCTGAACAAACAAATGATAAGGTTCGAAAGAACGATAAATAACGTGGGTATCGTTATGAAATGAACAAAAACTTTTGTATCCGTAAAAATTCATACGATCCCGATATATTATTATTATATTTGATATTTTTGAGGCCAGTTTTTAAATTCACATATCATTGTTTAAACATCGAGGAATTAACATTTCATGAGCATGGAAAGTTTTACCAAAGACAAGGCTTAACGTCATTTGGGATGGTTCTTAAACGCTTGCAGGTCTGTGATTTTTATTAGTGAAGTTGTTTAGTTTCATGTTAAGTTTAGTCGACTAGTGTATTTTTTGTAACGAACATCAAAACAGATTTCAAATATATCATTGACTATACATTTTCCATTTGATTTTGAAGAATTCCCGGTATCTCCGCTAAACGGACACGAAGACAAAAAATACAACCGAATTGAGAATTTGCTCCTTTTTTAAAGTCTGTTGAAAACAAGTGTCACCGATAGAAGCGAATGCGTTTTGACAGACGTGAAGTGAAATTATGATACTTTCGCGTTTCGTCCTCTGGTAAGTGAGGTAGCCGGGGCGTACTTATTTTAAAGATTGTCAACGCATCCGAAAGCCCTGAGGTGTTGTAGATGTCCACGGGCGCTGGTAAACACTTAACATGAAGTGAACCGTCTACTCGCTTGACAATTTCTCACATAAACAAAAAACGGTACGTGTACTTATGTACGAGCGTGAGAGTTTATACTTCTTTGACATCATTAATTAGAATAAAAATGTCAAAAAGGATATACCTAAATAATAAAAATCATGAAAGCGCCATGTACATTCTTTATTGAGAACTGTAAGGGGCGAATGTGATTGAGAATGTGCTGACATCTAAAAAAAATAAGCGGTTTACAGTGATGCGCGCGCATCTTAAAATTGCACTCATGTTTTTTAATAACGCGCCTAAATGTGATAATTTCATAAAGTATACAGTAGTCACCTGCACGTGTACAAATGGTTCTTCCTGACGCTCCTCCTGAAGAATCCTTTGCAGCCGTCGCAAGAGGAGGCGCCGTAGTGTTTCCCGGTGGCCCTGTCGCCACAGATGGCGCAGTGCTGCGACAATGACGTGGAACTGGCGGCACTGGCCTCGCTGCTACTAGTTTCCAGCTGCATGTCGCTGTCTGCAAGGGAACATGTCGATGTCAAGGTAACGACTCCGCGGCGAAGCTGTCAAGGTATTGGCGTCGGCGTCGGGGTAGTGGGTTCGATTCCCGCACGGGTCAACTGTGACCCACGGATAGTTGTTTCGCTTCTGGGTATTTGTCCGCCTCAAATTTATTTTTGTAAAACGTCGTTACAACACTAACGCCTTTGATTGATCGTTCTGATCATTAGAAGATCATTCTGGTTAATTCAGAGAGTTTAACCGTCCTTTTGGCAACTAAAATGAAATTTGAAACACCATTTGACGGCTGACTAGTTGACATCTACGATGATCAGTGTTTCAGAAACCGGCCGTAAGTGTATATACGCTAAGTGCGTGTTTGTAGTCAAATTAAAAGAACATAATACACAGGATAATGTTATCCTAAAGTAAGGATAGTTTTTAAAAGAAAAAAAGAGAACTATAGACTAGAAAATATTCCGACATCACAAATATCATGCTGCTCTGCGACCGAACAGTATAGACTGCGGAGTGGTAAGCTATAACATCTATCAACACAAAAGTAAGACAGACAAAATATGTACATAATTTGAAAGATTAAAAGTAATTTTGATGTTTCGATTATGTACATGTAACTTGTACAATATATTATGTACCTGCGTAGTTTGTTTGTCAGTGGTAGCGACTCGTCTTAAACGCTTTTAAAAGTCAATTTTTTTAAATATGAATGTTAATTTATAGCTGTGGCTCGACCTTTTATTGTCGTCACAGTTACAGCAATCTTTACAATTAAGATCTGTATAACGCGAAGATAAGTTTTCAAATCGAAGTAGCAGCGTTTCTCGGTTGACTGATAGAGAACACTTAATGGTGTTATCAATCATTGTACGCTGTTGTGTAGTTTTTAAATAAACAAATACAAATATGAGATCTTATTAAAAATCAGTAATTAATTGAAGTTGGCTTTCGAGGCACCTATTAACATTTTCTGTACATGTTTAATGCCTGTGAAATAAAATGTAATCTATATATATATATATATATATATAAATGAATCCCTATATCCCTCGGTCACGCCATCACGCGTGAACGGCTGGACCGATTTCACTTTTTTTGTTGTTGTGTTTGTTATTATCAGGAGAATTTTTTATGAAAGAAAAAATTTAAAAAATTGCCTGAAAAAGTCTAAAAACAACACTTTTGAATATTCCCGTGCAAAAGATTCGTAATAATACTTAAAAGTTGATTTGAACTTTAATAACATACCATAAAGTTTAAGTGTTTTACTGGAGGGGTTCCGGGAAGGAAAAACAAGTGAGTGACTGTGGTAAAATGTCACTTGGAATGTAAACGTCTCTTTGCTGTGCATCACTACATAGTATAAAACAAAGTTGTCCGGCTGTCTGTCTGTCCCTATTTATGCTTAGATCTTTAAAACTATACAACGGATCTTGATGCGGTTTTTTTACTAGATAGAGTGATTCAAGAGGATGGTTCATATGTATAAAACATTGCACCCGTGCAAAGCCGGGGAGGGTCGCTACTGTCATATATTTTTTGTAATATATGATGGTGTAACTGTTTCATGGCGAGTTTAAAGTTTTTTTGTGGGGATTCCCAAAGTTAATCATTGGAGCATTTCAAATGTTAATATCAGAGGTACAGACGTGATGATGCTACCTTATATTGATAATTTGACTTCATGCTGTACATTTCAACAGTTGCTCTTTTTCAAAAGTATCAGTTTACAATATAACATACAGGTATAAAAGTCTTATTCTAGCCTACGTGAATATCAACAGTATTAACTCCACACGTTGGCGTCGTCGAGATATTCCGTAATCGTATAATTTGCTTTAACCATAAGTTGACTTCTAATTTTACGTTTAAATTGGTCAAGCGGCAGACTTAATATCGACTGTGGAATTTTAATATACATACGCACACTTTGCCCCATGAACGACCTATTTACTTTTTGTATGTTTGTCCTTATTTCTAGTGTTTATTTTATTTTATGCATCACTCCTTTCTAGTTCTTATCTGAAAAAGATCTCTTGCGATATAAATGCCAGATAAAAGTGTCGTAATTTGCTTGAAATGCTTCGAACGGGAGTCTGTACTAACACAACACTTATTACATAGGAAAAACGCGTTTCTTTTTTAATTTACTGCGTTTCTTTCGTTCTTTAATGTTCGCTCGCAGTTTTTCGAGATATGATATAATAATAACATTATAAAATGGACGTCCATGAGGACATAACTCCTTGGACAAACGATGACTCCTTGGCGCAGTTGCACAGGTATTAGCTTCGGTGTCGGGTTTCGTGGGTTCGATTCCCACACGGGACAACAATTTGTGCGATCCACGTTGTTTGCGACGTGTGCGATAGTTGTTTCTCATCTTAGTGTTTGTCCATGTGAAATTTATGTTTGTAAATCGAGAATATGTTATTCTAAAATGAGGGCAATGTTTTTCTATAAAATTAAAAAATAAACAAATTAATTTATTATAGTGCGTTTAGGAAGTATAAGTCAATGGAATGGTCAAATTTTGGGAAGGGGGAGGGGGGTATGAGCTATCGTATTTAAGTGGTAACGTGTTAGGCGACTCATGATTAGTTTTATCAAAAGTTGACCAATACAAGTAAGTTGGAGAGAAAGTGTTACAAACTGAAGTAATTGAGTACCCTGCCGTAATCCAGTTCTTTATAAATAAAAACAACTCGGAGAAGTTGTTGAAGTATTCGATATGACCATTTTAAAAAATTTTTCATAATCATCTTGGCGTTCTAAAGGTCAACGCAAGATTGGTGCCGAGAATACTCACGCCACTGCAAAAACATCTGTGCGTGAACGTTACCCTACGTTTTTGGATCTTTGTAATGAAGAAAGGAATGGTATATTGGGTCAAATTTTTATTAGAGTATAAACTTAGATTTACCAGCATGAATCTCAGTTCAAGCAAGACACATTTTGTATGTCACTGTATAGGCAGTGGCATATAGTGACTAAAAAGTATAAGGTGTCACTGACGGCCGGAAAACTCATGGCAACTATGTTTTGGGACCCAGAATGAATCCTTTGGTTATATATTATCACTTTAATTGATTAGTTTCCATAACCAGAGAATAAATACTAAGGTGCAGACAAAAGCTATGAAACAAAAAAGGAAGGTGTTTCTTCACATGAAGAAAATAGAGATGGAATTTAAGCGTATTTTTACAACAGAAGAAACATTTACAAATCGGAAAAAAATCGGAGAAAATAAACAACCAAATGGTTGTTTATTTTCTCTTCTAGTCTATAGTATCTTTGCCCCGAATGGAAAAAGTTCTAATCAAGAAGGTAGTAATCATAATAAACAAAATAATAAAATAGGTAGTAATCCTATTCATGTTATCAATATAATATAGAGTGATTAAAAATAATGTATTGTATGGTAACTAGATTCGAATCTAGTTACATTACGTTAAATAGAAAAGGTCGACCTATTCACGTAGTTTTCTAACAATAAGATAAAAGCAGCACATAACTAATTAGCGAAAAAGTTTATCCGTCGAGAATTATTTATTTGGGTGACAAGCAGAAATCTCAGCTAAAATCAAGCATGGCTTATGACCCGCGTATTGTATACACTATATAGATATGTATTTCAAAATATAAAATGGATCAACTGCATATCGGGGATGACCAAAATAAAGTTTGGTCATTTCGTGCGATTACAATTAATGTTTGAGCAATGTTTGAACATGATTTGGAGTTGACTAAGTTAATCGGTTTCAAAATATGAACGAAGAGACTGGTCAATAATAACGAGCTGTAGATAATAAGCGAGACAATATTGGGTAGAGCGAGAAATGCGAGTAAACACACAAGTTAATTTATCGAGTCAATTTTAATCGCTCTCATTTCAAAACCGTACGGCGTTAAACCTATGCATTTTCTACGTGTTTGCATATTTCTCATGTTCATCTCGTATAGTAGTGCATGTAAAACAGTAAAAAAAGTTTTATCTATTCGGTATTTTTACGAGTGATTAAAAAAAATTATTCATTTAGATTGTTATTCCAGGAAAAAGTACTTTACCATGTCGAAGCATCACAAAATATTGTGATCACATTTATTTTAAAAGTTGAGCAAGAATACTTACCTTGCTAGATGCCGCTTTCGAACCTTTTCATTATGATATACATGCTTCATCCTGACAAGTGTATAACATCGATTTAAATCATAGTTAATCTTTAAAATCAATACTTTAATGTGCATGTTTTTCTTTTTCCTATTCGATTATATCATTGTTTAAGCAACTACTTTGCAGAGTACCTTTGCGCAGCAAAACCGGTCTTGTTCGTTTTGAGACATGAATACTACACATAAAGCACTTCTATAGAATGATTGATTCGATTTATCTTAGCGCCAAGTTTGAAAGACTTTTATTTATATCGCAAAAACACAAGCAAAATACTGAATTGGACAATATCAAAATAGGCATTTCTTATAATGCAACCGTGACAAAAAGGTCAAGGAGTCATAAATAAGGTTCAACTGTTTTATTTGCAGAAACCAAGGCATTAAAGGCATTTCCAACGTTGGATAAACAAACCTTTGTTGTAGCCGTCTAGCGTGGTCAAGCAGTTCGAGTCCTCCGCGCATCTGTGCTGGTACACCGGGTACGGGCTCATGGGCGCTTTGTCCCATACGTACGGGGTCGCCGTCACCATATACTCCGGGGTGTAGTCCACCCCGCACAAATCCTGCGACGTGGCCATCTCGTAGCCGAACACCGGCATCTTCCGGCGACCGCGTGGCGATGAGTGTCACCACTCTAGTACCTTATCGACGACTGGCCGAGTGCGTTTCGCCAACCGATAGCGGCGCCGCTAGATAATTTTTAGCGCGCGATTAAGGCAGGTGCACGAAAAGTAACCACAATCTTTGCAAACAGCGCCCACGAAGTGTGCATTAAGCACAGACCACGCACTTGTAAGTTACGCGTTACGCGTAAAATCACCGAGCGGCCGACTTGTGTCGGGTTTCCGGGTTATGTTTTGGTTTTTATCGGCGACGTCTAACACGCGACCGCTTGCGGTTCGCGGGTCACAGCGTGACAAGGCGACCTCGCTCGGGGAACGTCCCGACCCGACTGGTGGGCGACAGTCGACGACGCTGTGCAATATCCGCTCGTCGGGAGCGAAGATTCGCTGACAACCGCAACGGCCCACATGAATGACCCGAGCGCCGACTGCGAATGCTGACGACCGCAACTGCCCAACAACATATGAATGACTCGCGCGCCGATCGCGGCGATCGTCGCAACCGCTGCGTCGGCAGCGCTGACTCACGCGTTATCGGAAACGCAGCGGATGCGTCGAACGCATCGCGACGAGGAGTCACGCCGCAACAGCTGATGGCAGCTTAAGCCATAAAGAGCGAGTTGTTGTTGCACGCGAACGGACCGCCGACCGGATGACTAATTGATTGTCCGCGCCCGCGCGCTTTGTTTCTTTGTCGTTTGCCCAACGTTGCTAGTTATCTCTCGGATACAGATAATGAATGGTTTTTAACGGGCGGTTTATCTAAAGTAAGGTTAGTAGCGTACTCGTTTATGTTATGAGAGACGTGGAAATGTAACGATTTTACGATATATCGTTATGATCAATAATTTTTTTTCGAAAGTCACGAAAACTGACCGTCTTATGGATTTTTCATTAAAAATAGGTTACATATATCATAAAATAATCTATATCAACTTTTCGCTGTTAACAAACAGTGAATACTGTAATAAACAATTAATATATATAAAGTACGTTTTCAATGTTCATTGTTTACAAACACGTGACTCAAATTAGCGAAATGAAATATAAGCATTAAAATATATTATTATAGATTACTCAGTTTGTGCATCAAATAAAATATGGTACAACATAAATTTATTTGTGATATATTCATTACTTAAAAACATAGAAATTGGGACTGCTTTGATTTTTGGGAACATTATTTATAATAATTATATCATTTCCAATAATAATAGAACAACGCCCCTAAAATATTCATGTGTGATATTAGGTGTGTTAATTAGCTCAAATCATTTATTGGTAAGAAACCCGTATCTTAATAATTGGCACTAGACTTTTGCGTACCATACAAAGATCCCAATTATCTGAAGCTTTTTTCATGTTAAACGCAAGTATCAACTTGATATATTTCTTACTTGGGCGTATATTTTCGCGACAATGAATAGACAACAAATAAGGAATATATATTTGTACTATGTTGAGACAAAATTGTAAAGAAAAAAATTGCAAAATTGTAAAGTAGTATTTTATTATTTATTACTTAATAATGGAATATTGTATACGCGCTTTTGCAATTACCTCCCTGGATTGTATTCGAAATTGGGACAGTCAGATTAGAAATCGATGATAATTTATCGCAAAGTTGAGATTTTCACTAGAGGTCTTTTTTGCGTATAGTTTATAGACACATGCTAACGCTCAATACATCCTCAGTTTGTTGTGGTCATTTTTGTTACATCTTGTCGTTTTTGGAATAGTTGTTGCTATTGTATAAAAAGAGATTAACGCCTGGTTTCTGAAACACTGATCATCGTAGAAATTAAGTAATCAGCTGTCAAATGTACCATTTGAGTTGCCAAAAGGATGGTTTCACTATTTGAATTGATCATACTGATCATCAAGAATACCATTCTGTTCAATTCAGTTTAGCCTTCCTTTTGGTAATTCAAATGACATTTGACAGCTGATTACTTAATTTCTACGATGATCAGTGTTTCAGAAACCGGGCGTGAAGGTCTCAATAAAGCGATGGCGAACGGATAGAGTGCGTGGCGAGGCACAAATACGTAGCCAATAAAATATAGAGTCAAACGCGGGTGGCTTGGGCAGTGATTTGGAGCGGAGGCGGTAAACAGCGGGCAATCGCTTCGGTCGGGTTAGGTCGGGGTCGCACTATCTCGTCTGCCTAGCCGCGACGCGTCAACATACCGAGCGACAGCTCATCCCAGCGCCACCATTGCAATGTGTTTATGAACGTTAAACATAGATAAACAGTCGCCAATCTCCCATGAGGGTGGATAGAGGTCACGGATTTTCAACATATGGTAAATTCAGTCACTGGTAAATTCAGGGTTTTGTTTTTTAAACTATCCTCGGTATATCGCCAATGTGATGTGTCGTATATGTCTCATTAGTACATTCAGAGTTTTGTTTTTAAGCCGTCCTCTGTATATCGCCTATATGTTCTATATAGGTCAACGTGGAACAATTCTTACTCTTCCTTAAAGACTTAATCTTCCACTCACATCTGCACCGTGGTATTTTAGGCACCGTGTGTAGGCACCCGCGATTAAAGAAAAAATAGTCTCTTGAAATATAATCAATTGATTAATGAAATAAATAATCAAAGTTTAAGATTTTATTTTTATCAATGGATTAAATCAATTGGGTTGGTCTAATCATTAATATGGTTAGACTAGAAAACGTTAAGTGGATACCGCTCAATCAAAAATGGAACGTCTTTATTTCCTGATCTAAACTAAACAATACCATAACAAAAGCATAATCTATAAATATAAAAATCGATCGCTGTTCGTTAGTCTCACTAAAAGTCGAGAACGGTTGGACCGATTTGGCTAATTTTCGTTTTGAAATATTTGTGGCAGTGCAGGGAAGTTTTAAACGATGCGAAATTATGGAAAAATTGCATGGGAAATTCGAAATAGCAACAATTTTATTTTCCCATACAAACCTGTCAACTGTGTCTGTGTAACCTGTCAAACACTTTATGCGTGCGTTCCGATTCCACTAGAAATAATTTATATGGCAAAACAACGTTTGCCGAGTCAGCTAGTATGTTTATATTTTAATTTTGCTTGATTTGTCACACAACTAACAAAGGGACACAGCCGGAAACGACATGTCTATTTATGTGGTGCGATCGTATTTTTAACGTTGAAGAGGTTCTTAAAGGGGCCTACATTGTGGTATTGTTTTGGAGTTTCTTCAAACTCGATACCATAGGGTCGTCCGGTCCTTACATATAACGTTGCTGCAAATTATTTTAATATTTGTTATAAGTGCTGCGCAAGTACAGTCGGCGAGTTCAACTTTTTTATTGGTTAGTATTCATAAACGCTCGCTACGTAGGTAGATTGACGTAAGACGGTTTAATTGTGTGTATTAACTCAACGTAAGCATTGACGTTAAAAGCGGATCTTCAATATTTGAGGATAACTTCGTTCGTACTAGTACATAATATACCTGCGAGAGATCCGCGAGTGCACTGCTTTTTATAGAATTACTGAAGAATTTCCTTCATTTTTTGTTCAGATTTTCAACTCGCAACGATATAATGCGAAGTGCAAGTTAAGTACACAAATATAAGATTGTCCTTATTATAATTTGCTTCTATATTTGGCAACACCTAAGTAAACATTTTTTTTTATTACGGGGGTTTAACATTGAGACAATGTGCTAGATAGAGTAGAGCGTTTGTTGTTGTTGTTTGTATATGTATCTATCTTTTTTTTTTAATCACAATAGACAAAATAGAGACATTGCGAGTCCGAATCGAACTCAACGCTGAGCTTATTCATTTAATTAATTTTATCGCATTTTATTACTTTATCAACAATGGTCTCTCCCGTGACCTAATTTAAAAAACACTCGATAAAAAAGAATACAGTCCAATTTAAACATGCGTAGTGACCTAAATACACGAGATCATTACAAAACTAAGTTAAGTGTAGTGCTTTGGCATAATCTCTGGACTACTCTGCTAACAATGGTGATAGCTTTTATAAACGTATAAAATCATCGAGCCAAATGAGACATGTATGCATCATCACAAGCCATTATTTCAAACTCTAGCAGTTTTAGCGCATATACGAAACAAAATGGACACAAAGACGGACGGCGGATCCAATAATGTACCGCACTTAAGGAAAATACACATAATTTATCTTAAGGACATCAACTTTATTCATCGAAGCTCATAATACAGTAAATTAGCATTCATCTGTTAAATTATATTCGATATGCTAAAGGTCATTTACACTTCATTCTTTATACGTATAGATTTTAATTGAATTAATCACACCTAAAAATAACACATTTCCGAAAAACGACGCATATATTGACAATATTAATGTTTTATTATAAAATGATCGAACTCTTGAGAAGTTACCTGTGGAGATTTTATTTTGTGCTTACAAAATCTTAACAGACCTTTATTTGTTGCGGTATTATACAGTTTGTCAAAGAGTCTGAAGCTAACTTTTGTAGGTTTTTAAATTTTAATTCAAGTGCTAGTCTCCACACTTAACGGCTCATTGGTTAAGGCGCCTGGACGCGTAATGCGGAAGGCGCAGCTCCGGATCCTGTTAGCGGCGAAAATTTTGCGACAGTTTTACATACACATCTTCAAGTTTTACTAAGTTTATGCTTCAATCAGTAACGCCCGGTTTTTGAAAGACTGATCAACGTAGACATTAACTAATCAGTTGTCAAATGGCTAGTTCAATGTCAATTTAGTTACCAACAGGATTTTTTTTTATGCGAAAATTTGGAAAACGAGCAGACGGTTCACCTGATGGTAAGTGAATACCGCCGCCCGTGAACATCTGCGCGTTGTTGACGCGTTGACAAACTTTTGAAAATTGGGCTCCGGCTACCTCACTCACCAAACGAAACGCGAAAGTATTTGTCATACTACCACTTTACGCTGGTCTTCTGTGAGGTCGTGGCACTTACCCGGACGGGCCTGCCCATTC